GTAACAGACTTTGGGGACAGTGCCTAATTCAAGGCCTATCTCTTAGCTGAGTGACTTTCTGCAAGTTATTTCTCTTCCTTGAACTTTACTTCCTGACAGGTACAAATGAAAATTATAATACCCAGAATCATTCTCCCAGAAATCAATGACACAGCAGTGCATAGTGGTGCAGACCTGTAATCCAGCACTCAGAGGTTGAAGCAGGAAGATTGCCTAGAGTTTGAGGGTAGCCTGGGCTACATAGTAAGTTCAAGTCCAGCTTGAACTGGATTATGAGACCTTGTCTAAAAAAAAAATCCATGGCACAAAAGAAAGGGAGGAAAGGGCCGGGGATTTAGCTCAGTGGTTCTGCCACCTGCCTCAAAAGCGCAAGGTCCCGAGTTCGATCCCAGGTACCAAAAAAAAAAAAAAAAAAGAAAAGAATGGGAGGAAAAACAATTGTTATACATTAAAAGAGATTCGTGAGATGATGATAGCAAAAATGCCATATGTAAGACTTTATTTGGATCTGACTTGGACAAAAAACTGTAAAAAGGCATTTGAGACAAATAGGGACCTATAAAAATGGTCTGAGAAATAGATTATATTAAGATATCATTGCAGGCTGGGGATGCAGCTCAGCGGTAGAGTGCTTACCTAGCATGTGAAAGGTTCTGGGTTCAATCCCCAGCACTGTAAAAAAAAAGAAAGAAAAGGAAATTATCATCATTTTTGTTAGGTATTATAATGGTATGATAATAACATAAAAAATTGTTATCAACTAGAAGTACTTACTGAAGTATTTATGGTAACTAAGTTTGTTTTAAATTTTTTTTTTTTTAGTACCCGGGATCAAACTCAGGACCTTGTGCTTGCAAGCCAAGCAGCTCTGCCACTGAGCTAAATCCCTGGCCCATTTAAAAATATTTTTAAAAAGAAGCATGTTGGGCCGGGGATTTAGCTCAGTGGTTTCGCCACCTGCTGCATAAGTGCAAGGACCCGAGTTCGATCTCCAGTACCAAAATATAAAATAAAATAAAAAGAAGCATCTTGGGGTAGAGATGAGGTAAGATTGGGGAAACGCTGAAAGAATTGAAGCTGGGTTTGACTGTGTGAGTTCATTATGGTATTTTCTCTACTTTTATATGTTTGAAATTTTCATTGATAAACAGTAAAAATAAAGGAAGTGATTCAGAGATGGCGGCAGTAGAATGCAGTGGTTAAGAGTTCTGGACCCAGAGGTGCCAGTGATATTCCACAGCTTTAAGGTATGTTCTAGTAAGTGGTCATGATACTGATGCTGGCTGTGTCACTCACTGCTGGTAGATCCTGGCCAAGTGACTTAACTTCCCCGAGCCTCTGCACCTGAGCTACAGAACAGGAGGAATCATGATCTCTGGCTCACTGAGTTTATTTGGAGGACTGAATGACAGGAAAAGGGAAGGACTTAGCAGAATGCCCAGCACATAATAAGCACTCAATAAATGCTTCAGTGGCGTAGCAAAGGTTTGGGAATCAGGCTACCTTGGACATGAACCCTGGCTTGGCTCTGCCACTTGTGCCTGTGTGACTTCAGCCAAGCCAATTAACTCTCTGAACCTCATTTCCTCCTGGGACAGAAAGGAAGATCATAATACCTCCCCCACAGGCCTGTTGGGAGGATTAAATGACAAGACATGTTTTCATGCCCAGCACAGCCCACATGGGAATTTCCCTTCCTCCCCCTTGACTTTCAGCAGCGCTGGCCCTGCTAACCCTAGGCTGGAACCCAGCCCACTGTCCATTTCCTTGGCCTCTGCCCCTGGGCTCTGAGAGTGGCTGGAGAAAGTCAACAGGTCCCCTCGAAGGGCTCTTCATGGAGGACAAGTCTGTGCTGGGAGCCATCTCCTGGGCCCTTCTGCTCCCAGACAGTCCCTCCTTCCCTCTGGCCCCTGGCCTCTCTCCTGTGTCCATGCAGCCCTCAAACCCTCTCCACCACCACCCACTCTGCCAGCCTCCCTGCTGCCGCAGCCTCAGAGGTTGGCCTTGGCTCTCTCTCGAGTTCATGAAACAGAGGCACTTTTTCCCTCTCTTTCCTCCTCTCTTCTCCCCATCCCTCACCTCCAAAGCTGAACTGTCCCTCTTCTCCCCAGGCCTGTAGGGTTTACTCCACCACCACCACCCACTGCCCTTGCCTCAGCTCTAGAACCTTCTCTCCTCCGTTGCCCATACCATCTTACCCAAAAAAGGCTCACTCAAGTATCTTAATTTCTCCCAAATCTGACCTCGACCTAGATACTCCTTTATTTATCTCACTCACTCATTCACCCATTCACATAAGAACCATTTGAGCTGGGTGTGATGGCACATGCCTGTAATCCTAGTACTCTGGAAGGCTGAGGCAGGAAGATTACAAGTTCCAGCCCAGTTTGGGCAATTTAGCAATTTAGTAAGACCTTGTCTCAAAGGAGAAAATAAGAAAGGGTGCAGGATATAGCTCAGTGCAAAAGCCCTGGGTTCAATCCTCAGTTTGGGGCGGAGATGGGGGGCGGGATTTGTTGAATACCATGTGCCAGACACTGGGATACAGAGATAAATAGGGACAGGCTCTGCCCTAAAAGTTTTCATAGTCCAATGGGGCAGCTGAACTCACAGACAAAGGCAGCATGACAAATGAGATGCAGAGACTGGCTGAGGGCGCAATGGAGGGAGGGGGACCCTAGGGGACTTTCAGCTTTGTGGTTGTCCATGGTTGGTACAGGTGGGCGGTTGGTAGTGCTGTTCCCTGACGCATGAGACAAGAAAAGTGGAAAGAGTAAGGTATGGGGAAGCTAGTGTGCTCTCTTTAGGGTAGGGTGAGTTTGAAGTACTATTGGAGCAGCTCAGTAGGAATTGCCAATAAATCTTCAGTTTAGGTGAAAGAAAACTCTGGCCTAGAATTCGATATTTGAAAATCATTGGCATGCAGGAGTTGGAAGCATGAACCTTTATAGAGTGCTTTCTGCCACATGCAACGAGTAATTACACTTTTTGACATTTGTTATCTCATGGCCTAAGTAGTCAAGAATTGGGCAGTTCCAGGGTTGGATAAATTGAAGCACAATAACAGCATCAGTAACCAGGGATTTTTTTAGTTCCCCTCTGCCATCCTCAGAGTGTTGACTTCTTCCTCAGACTTGTTCCCTCATGGTTGCACACTGGCTGCCTGCCCTCTCACACCCCATTACAAGGCAAGAATGAAGCTTTCTTCTTACACTTTAATTTTTATCATGGAGGAAATCCTTTATCTCTATCCAGTAGACTTGCCCTGGTCTCATTAGCCATAAGTACATCATTAGGCAAAAAGACATGTGGACTGGGGATTTAGCTCAGTGGTGCTGCTGCCTGCCTCGAAAGTGCAAGATCCTGAGTTCGATCCCATGTACTGAAAAAAAAAAAAAAGACATGGGATTACCACTATGGGTTTAACCCTTTTGTGGTTTATCTCCCAGGGTCTGGGGATGGCCACCTTCCCTGGGGCACAATACTGTCAAGATCTGAACAAACCTGAGTCCTGTAAGCCAGAAAGAAGGGAGGACTTTTTCTCAGTCCTCATCCCCCTCTGCCCCTGGCTGGACTGATGGTATCAACTTTTCCTCAAACCATTCAGTAGGGACAGGAGGCACTTGGTCCCTGAGTCGAGCCTATCTAGGTTCCCGTCTCTTGCTGTGCGACCCCACAGAGGTTACTTTACCTCTCTGGCCCTGAGTTTTCTCACCTGTGAAATGAGGATATAATGGTTCTTGCATGAGAACTTGCTGAGATGATAAAATGAAATAATGTATGCAAAATGCTTAATACAGTGCCTGGTAAGCACTCAGCAAAAACTAGCCATTAGCATCCTGGGGGAAATGGATCAACCTCTCTTCTGAATCTTCCTGTCTTTGTTTTTAAGGCCTCCTCTTCTTTCTGTGTCTGGTTCTTCTTCTGGTGGCCCCTTTAGGCCTTCTTTCTTGAGGCTGGGCCCTCTGCCCTTGTGATTGGTTAGGTCTGGTTTCAGGGCTTGGCTCTCCTCTTTTTTTTGAGACAAGATCTTGCTATGTAGTTCAGGTTGGCCTTGCACTCACTATGTAGCCCAGGCTGGCCTCTACTCACTGTGATCCTCCTGTCTCAGCCTCCTGAATGCTGGGATTACAGGTGTGTGCCACCACACCTGCTCTGATGACCAAAGTCCCTGCTCTGATGACTTCTTCCTGCCAAAATGAAAGATGTCCTAAAAAGTATGGAGGAAATTTGTGCAGAGAGCCGAAGGGAGCTTCTAGCTAACTCCTGAGTGTCAGGGCTGGGTTTTAAGGTGCTACGTGAGTTATTCCTGTCTGTCTCTCTTCCTGGGCTGTGAGCATCTCAGGGCAGGGACACTGATCACTCATCTGTCACCTTGGTGCCCGATATATAGTTAGTACACAGTAAAATGCCCAATGTGTGAATAAGTGGCTTTGCCCCTTCCTTTCTAAATGACTTTGCACAAGATCCTTTTTTCCAGACCCATTTAAAAATCTACCAGATGAAGGACCTCAATATTTCTCAAGGGGCGGAGATGGGCTGCCCAGAGCAGAGTCTTGGGTGAGGGGGAGGGCTCTGGTAAATGCTGTCCTCTTATCTGAGGCAGGGGGGTGGGCTGAGAGAGGGGTGCCCTGACTCATATGAGGAGCTGTCTGAGGCTCCAGTCAGGGGCGTTGGCTATTAACCCCTGCAACCCCAGCAGCCCCCTCTCTGTGTCCCTTCCCCAGGCTCGACAGCTAGGCCAAGAGGACGCGGATTTCTGCAGGAGACCCTGGGTACCAGTCTTGTTCTGAGGGCTTCAGACAGGTTGTTCTTGTTTATGACCCCCCACCCCTGTCCCAGGGGAACAGGATTGCTCATCCTTGCATGTGATTTGAGAGGGCTGAGTCTTTGGGCCCTGGAAGGAACTCAAGCCCCGACAGCCACTTGGCAATGGAATGCTCAGCTGGTCCCTTCCCGGGCTCATGTGACCGAGGCTCAGCTATAAATATCAAAGGGGCCTCAGAGCAAGACAGAATTCGGGTGCCAAGAGGAGACAGCAAAGAGGATCGAGGATCAAGCTGGTGTTCTGTGCCCTAGGGGAGACCCTCAGGCCAGTTTAGTGCTAGGCAGGTGGAGGCAGAAGCTGCACCTCCCGACAGTATGGATTATAAATCCAGCCTGATCCAGGATGGGAATCCCATGGAGAACCTGGAGAAGCAGTTGATCTGTCCCATCTGCCTGGAGATGTTTACCAAGCCAGTGGTCATCTTACCATGCCAGCACAACCTCTGCCGGAAGTGTGCCAATGACATCTTCCAGGTCAGTGGGGGACGTGGCCTACTCTCAGGGTCCCAGGTACTCATTCGACTTCCCTTTCCTCTCAGCCTGAGACCCCTGCAACCAGGCCTGGGTCTTTCCCTCCTGAGAGGATCCCAGCAGAGGCCGCTGGGGTGGGCTGGGGGGTGGGGAGGCAGCTCTGGCTGTCTCAGTCCTGATCCATGACTCATGTCCCCTCCCCACAGTGTCCACACTCCCAGGCGCTGCCCCTACTCGCTGTTGACTCCCTAGTCAAGAGTCAAATGCCTCAAGTGATAAGTGGGGGAGGCAGGCAGAGAGGAGAGAGAAACCAGACCCCTGGGCCAGAGCCAGCTCCATGGTGGCAGGGGGCCCAGAGCTTCGGGAGGGAGTAACAGGGAGGTGCTGGGCAGTAGAGGCATCTTCCCTTTGGGGCTGTCTGCTCCAGTCTGGGGGCAGGAGGGCTCCACCTCCCTGAGAAAGGGGGAAGGATTCAAAGTCCTCAGGGGCACAACACACAATGTTCTTTCACTGCCCAGCTCTAAAGTTGCAGCTCCAGCTTGCTCTCCTTACACGGCCCATTTCATGAGTAGATAAACTGAGGCATAGAGAGATAAAGTTGGTTGCTCAGAGTCACTCGTAGAATGAATGTGACTTGAACTCAAGGTCTGCTGCCCTCCAGCGGGCCCATTGCTTGACCCTATGTATAGATGGCTTGGTTCCGAATCAAGACGGGGAGCTCAGGGCCTTTGATCTGACAGCGGTGGTTTGGGTAAGCAGGGCAAGGAGGATAGGACTGGGAAGGGAATGGACTGAGGAGGGAGCACAGGCCTCACTCTGCCTTGGCCACTTGCAGGCTGCAAATCCTTACTGGACCAACCGGGGCAGCTCGGTGTCCATGTCCGGAGGGCGCTTCCGCTGTCCCTCGTGCCGCCACGAGGTGATCATGGATCGTCACGGGGTATACGGTCTGCAGAGGAACCTGCTGGTGGAGAATATCATTGACATCTACAAGCAGGAGTGTTCCAGGTCAGTTTGCAGGTGCAGGAGCCCCTCCACCACCCCAGCCACACTCCCGGGCCCCTTCTGCCTCCTGTCTGCCCAGGACCCATCCCTGCCTGGAAAGCCATGCTGGCCAGCTCTAAGAGCCACTGCCCTCCTCTTCTGATGGGGCCAGCGACCCGGAGGCCCCAGCCCAGCTCTCAGCATCCCTCAGTACTAGGGAAGGGACCCAGAAGTCAGGCTACCCTCTGAGAGACACTGACACAGAGGCCGGGGGAAAGGTGGATTGGAGAGGGAGAGAGTCTGGGGTGAATGAAGTGGCCCTGGTTGGCAGAGGCTGTGTCCAGTGGAAATGCAGCCGGGTTGTCTCCAAGGATGGTCAGTGCCCTGTGTATGGGCAACACCATGAGGGGCCTGAGGGATGCTGCATCTTGGGGCTTCACAGCAGCCCTGTGGATCAGGCAAGACTTTTATTATCCCAGTTCAGGGACATGGAGGTACTGGGAGTTGATCAGGTCTATCTCAATCTAGGTCTCCCTGTTAGTAAAAAAGCAGAATTTGTGAGTGGTGGGGATTGTGCTGTGTTGGGTTTCAAACTGGAGAGAAACAGGGAAAGATCTTTACAGAAAAGAACATCAAGGTTGAGGATACCGCTCAGCGGGAGAGCATGTGCATAGCATGCACGAGGCCCTAGGCTTGGGGGATAGCAGCACAAAAACCAACAAAGATCAGGCTCCTGGGCTGCTGACTTAGTGGCTTTTATGGTCTGAAGCACCTGGCTTCCCCAGGCACCTGGCTACAGGCAGTGGCCAGCCCCAGGGAGGGTGAGCCACCCACGAGGCCCTCAGAGATAAAGCCCTGGGCTGGGGAACAGTGTTGGATATTCTGCCTCTGTTACTGAGGCACTGGAGGCTCTTGGGTGAGCCTCTGGGGATTGCTGCAAAAGGGGACAGACAGTAAGATCTGTTTTTGTAACTGTCAAATAAGATATTGATAAGAAACATTAAAAATATCACATACAGAATTCACTGAGCACCTACTGTGTGCCACACTGTACCCAGTACTTTTCATGCATTTTCCCTATCCAATCCTCACAGTAGCTATAAACATTCTACCTTACTGTGAGGAAATGGAGGCTTGGAGAGGGCCAGAGGTTTGTCCAAGGCCACCCAGCTAACAAGTGTTGAGGGAGGGAGGGAGGGAGGGAGGGAGGGAGAGAGAGAGGGAGGCCATGGTGAATATTTGTATCTGCTGTGCTAGTTTGCTTCACACATTGATCATTACAATAATAACACAATCCATACAGCACCAAACATTGACCTACCCAGTGTTGACCTTGGAAGAGCATGTTGTGTTTGAACACTTCCAGGCCTTTCCACATAGCTGGATGACAATGATAGCTGCCTTTTATTGTGCCAGGTGGGTCGTATTCTGCTGAACAAGGGGCAGAACAGTTGGGTTTGAACCCAGATGCTGAATTGTGACTTTAGGAGGGTGGGCACCTGGGAGGGAAGTGGGCACAGGCTGTGGACCCTTGGGATCTTGCCTCACCTCTGCATGCTGCCATCCCAGGCCTCCCTTCCCAGGGTGTGGAGCATGGGGACACTGGGCTCAAAGATGCAAAAGGAGCAGCCTAGAAAGGGGCTCATTTCGGAACCGGAGGGGAACGCAGCTGGAATATGATCAGTCTGTTGGGAGCTGAGGGACTGACGCCAAAGGGGCCTAGTCACTGACATTTATGAGATGTCTGTGATGTTAGGGGCTGGGGATAGAGGTGGTGTTGATATAGGGGGAAAATGTAACTCCCAATCTGGTGGAGGTCAGATATGCCAAGTTCATGCTCCCTGAAGTCGAAGAATAAATTCTAAGAAACACCAGAGGTTAAGAGTAGGAAAATTTACTGGGGAATAGGAATAGCTCCTGAGAGGTTGCCAAAGAGCAACCTCTCCGAGAAGGTTTTATAGAGCAAACTCACGAGATGGGTATAATGTGGGTCAAAACTATAATCAACCAATAAGATTACAAGTTTAGCCACTTGGCTAATATTGATCCAGTAGTGGCAAAGGCATATGGATTACATCATTAACCTTGGTCAATAATCGATAGCCTCAGTAGTCTTTGTCTTAGTGGGTGGGAGAGGATGACCTACCCTACTGAGATAGTGGTTCATTTATATGGGAGATCTCAAAAGAGTGGTACTAACAATCTCAAGTTTCTCTTTATTCCTTAGGGAAGTACATAATGTGGCCATTGTGACTTTAATCTTCAGATGTGCCTCCAGCCACGGTTTTGATGTGTTCTCATCTTGTGCACTGGCAAGGAAGGGCCTGGCCTTGTCTGACTGCCTCTAATATTTCTACCTAACTTATCTGTCTATAATAGTGTAGCCTGAATAAGTAGTTGTCTCGCTGGAGTTCCAGAAATCCATGTAGGTTGGGAAACGACCATTGCCCTGAAAAGCTCACAGAATGTGCTGGATTCCAGAAGTGGAGAAAGCCGTAGAGAAGAAGGAGAGAGAAGGAGTGTGCACCATGCAGAAAATCTGGGTGTGGAGTTAAGGCTTGTCTTGTGTTGTTGGACAACCCTGGGCCATCCACTTGTAGTTGTGTCATTCGGGGCACTGACACTACCTCCTTTGAGCCTCAGAGACACCCTGGGGCATGTTCAACTGATTTATTTTTCCTGCCTTACTTAATTACCACCTCCTCCTTGTAGACACTGTACACTGTAGACCCAGGGGTGAAGAAAATAGGTAACTTTCCCTGCCTAGATGGAAGGATACAGTCTGGTAGATTAAATATAGAATTCAGTGAGGCCATCAGTATAAATTGCTTAGCTCAGAGCCCGGCCCGCACCAACTAAGAGCTATGGGGACTATAATTAGAGTGAAGGACTGCTAGCCTCGCCTGTTCTGGCTCACTGCGTGACCTTGGGCAAGTCAGTTCACTTTCCTGAGGCCCCATTTCCTGTTCTCTAAAATATCTCCAGGTCTGGTGTTCTATCCTCTTTCTCAAGTCCTTTGTGCTGACAGAGGCTCTGGCTAACTCCAGCCCTGGGGTTTGGGTCCCAGGATGTAGGGACAGGTTTGGTAGGTGTCACTGGTTTCCATGGTGCTGGGTCCCCAGAAGATGAGAAGTTTGGGGGCAGCCAGTCACTGAGGGCTCAGGGAGTGCACCTGGGGTGGCCTCCTGTGATGAGAGCCTGGGGAGGAGATAGGGACTCCAGAACCACCCCCAACTTGTGACTGTCCTCCCCCTAGTCGGCCCCTGCAGAAGGGCAGCCACCCGATGTGCAAGGAGCATGAAGACGAGAAGATCAACATCTACTGCCTCACATGCGAGGTGCCCACGTGCTCCATGTGCAAGGTGTTTGGGGCTCACCAGGCCTGTGAGGTAGCCCCGCTACAGAGCGTCTTCCAGGGACAGAAGGTACAGGCCCCGGCCCCTGCTTTCCCTACTGATCCAGGAGTAGATTTGATCCCCTGCGATCTGCTGAGCCGGCCTTTCAGGAATAGTCCCTCTGGAGGGACTTCCTAGGCCACGGGACAGCAGCCCTTGCCTCCTTGGGGGAAGATGGCTGAGCTCATGGGTTATACTTAGAGCCACTTGAGAGTACCTGGGTGTGGCCACGGGGGAGAGGTCCGACCCCAGGGCCAGGCCACCAGGCCTTCCCAGGCCACAGCTTCTCCATCCTGAGTATTTGGGCCCTAGATACATCTTGAGCCTTTCATCTCTCCCAGACTCCAAATTCCCCTGCAGTGGGAAACAGCTTAGAGTGACTCTCCCTGGGCTGCTGGCAGCCCCACCAGCCTGTGCAGGCAGAAAGCTGTGGTCCCTCTTTCTGTATTCTTCCCCAACTCCCTTCTCCTGGTCTCTCTCTTCTAGAACTCTCCAGCTCTATTTCTTTTTTTTTTTTTTTTTTTGGTGGTACCAGGGATTGAACTCAGGACCTTGTACTTGCAAGGCAGGCACTGCACCACTGAGCTAAATCTCCGGCCCCAACTCTATTTCTTTTCTCCAGCACTAGCCTGTCCTCTGTTAGTACCTTGCTGTGTATTTTGGGCAGCTTGGTTTCCCTCTCTGGGCTTCATCTGTAAAATAAAGGATACAGAGCTGGGTGTAGTGGATGCCATGTTTATGCCATGTCGGAGCAGGCTGGTCCTGATGCTATTTCTGTCTCTCTTCTTCTACCTCCTCCCTCCATCTAGACTGAGCTGAGTAACTGTATCTCCATGCTGGTGGCGGGGAATGACCGCATGCAGACCATCATCACCCAGCTGGAGGACTCCAGTCGAGTGACCACGGTGAGGGGACAGAATGGCACTGGGTGGGGGTTTGAAGACCCCCAGTGTAGCTGGTCTTTGGGGAAGCCTCCCCATGTGTTGAATAAAGGTTGGGACAATGGACTGGGGTGGCCAGTGGGGTGGCAGGGAGGGACTAATCCACCATCCTCTCACTCAACAAGTGCTTTTTGAGCATAGCTGTCAGGCCCTGCTGGAGAACTGGGATGAGGCATAACCAAGACAGACCTGGCCGCTGACCTCAGAGTGTCTCGCCCCACCAGTCATTCTCAGTATTTATTCAGCATGAATGGTTTTCAGATCACTGCTCTCCAGGTGCTGCAGGCCAAGGGCTTCTGAGACTTTAAAAGGACTTACGTCATCCTGGATCTTGTGAAAACTCAGGTTCCGGTTCAGTAGATTTGGAACGAAGTATGTGATCCTGCATTTCTAGCACGTGCCCAGCCCGGAGGTTGCCCTGGATGTTGAGGTCACAGACTCCACTTGGAGTAGCAAGACTGCAGAGGGCAGAAGGGAACTTTTTCATCCCTGGTACAGCATCCAGGATTCTGGTCTCCCTTGAGGAAGGGTGCTGGAGAGATGGGGAAGGGGCATCAAAATCGCTAGTGGATGAAGAGTGATGGGAAGGGTAGGTTCAAAGGAAGGTAGGCGTGGTGATCGCCCCAGAGTGGCCCCTGGTCTGAGAGGGCCCACTGTCATACCCATTTTACAGAGAAGGCAGCTAAGATACAAAATCAGTGTGGGACAGGAGGGAGCTTTGGCTAGACAGGCTGCAGGGGCTGCTAACTTCCCACCTCCCCGAGGACCAAATGACGCTGACTTTCCTGAGTCCAGCCTCAGCCTTAGCATTGAGGGAAGCATGTGACTTGGGGCTTTGGAAGGGGTCACGCCATGCGACCCATGTTCTCCATGACACCAACCTCCAAGTGTCAGAGCAGCTGTGAGACCTTCCAGGCGCTCTCCTCCCGAGGGCTTTCCTTTTGCCTTCTGTAAGAGGGGCTTTAGCTTGCTGGCTCCTGGGTACCCCTGTCCTGGGAAGGGAGCAAGGGCTCCCCAGGATGTGACTAGAGGACTTCTCTTCCAGGAGAATAGTCACCAGGTGAAGGAAGAGCTGAGCCAGAAGTTTGACACCCTTTATGCCATTCTGGACGAGAAGAAGAGTGAGCTGCTGCAGAGGATCACGCAAGAGCAAGAGGAGAAGCTGAGCTTCATCGAGGCCCTTATCCAGCAGTACCGGGAGCAGCTCGACAAGTCCACCAAGCTGGTGGAGACAGCTATCCAGTCTCTGGACGAGCCTGGTGGGGCCACCTTCCTCTTGGTGAGCTGGACTTGGAGGTCTGGGCAGGCTCCCGTTGTGCTCCCCCACTGACCACCCATGGGTCCTCAGACAAGTTGTTTAAATCCCAGAGCCTAAGTTTTCTCATCTGTAAAGAGGGCAGCAACAATCCCTGCCTTCCTCTTACCGATTTTATGAAATTCAAACAAGAGGATGTTTATGAAGCTGTAGAAGCTACAAAATTCAATGTCCTACACTAAGACTGTTAGTTGAGCACCTACTGTGGCCAGAAATAAGGGGGAGACACAGAGATGAACCAAACACAGCCTTGACCTAGAAGAGCTTATTGGGGATGACAGAAGAGGCTCTAAGACTTCAAAGTTCAGTTCATTAAAAAATTCCTCAGCTCCTCCCATGGGCCAGAATTTGGGCTGAACCTTAGGTCTGAAATGGTGACTAGGCAGATGCTCATTGGCAGACTTCCGTGCTCAGGCACATTTAAAGAGATAACCTTGAGAATCTGGCTTCCTGCTAGGACAGTTGGAATGTCCTGGGTGCTGACCATGCAGACTATAGACAGAGGGAAAAAAAAAATCCAAGTTCTGTTCAGAGTGGGGCAGGGAGTGGGTCACAGTTGGGCCAGGAATTGACATCCAGTTGCAGTGCCATCTGCAAGGCTCAGCAGCTGGTTTTGCACATTTCCTGGGCTCACCCCTCCTGTAGTCCTGACTGTCTCTTCTCTCTCTTCCCACAGAGTGCCAAGCAACTCATCCAAAGGTCAGTGTCTTCTCTGGGGCTCTGAGCCAGGTTCCAAGTTCTCCCGGGGCCTCTGGTGAATGCCTAGTGAGACCTATGCAGGTCTGGGGGGCTCCCCTGGGCTGGCTTCCCTGGCCTTTGCAGCCCTGAATGGTCCATCCATTCTGCTTGAGACTGAACAGGAAACACTCCACCAGGGTGGGCAGGCTCTCGTTGCAAGGCCGGCCATGAGCCTGGCATGGGCTGGAGGAGCTGGACTAACCCCCCTCCCTGCACCGAGCCCCAACCTCACCGTGCCTCTCTCTCTCCCACAGCATCGTGGAGGCTTCCAAGGGCTGCCAGCTGGGGAAGACAGAGCAGGGCTTTGAAAACATGGACTACTTTACTTTGGATTTAGAGCACATAGCCGACACCCTGAGGGCCATCAACTTTGGGATAGGTAAAGGAGGTGGTGCTACCATTTGTCTGTTTACTTGTTGACCCCTGAATGCCAGCCTCCCTCCCCGAAGAGAAACAGATGCACTAACAAAGACCCCAGCTATCCAGCCAAATATACACAGCCAACTTCTAGATGAGCCCAGACCCCGGCACAGTGCCTCATGTGGAACTGTCACTCAGTAAATTATGCATGGATCTAAAGCTCATGGGATATGGAATCAGACAGCTCTGAGTTCAAATTCTGATTCCGGCATCTCTGTGGTCTTTAGCAAACTCCTCTCTGCCTCCCTAAACTTAATTTTCTAATTTTAAAACTTAGGTTGAAAGTGAGCCTTCTAATGATGAGTCTTTCTGGTGCTATGGCAACAGATCAGATATTGGCGTGGAAGGGTATTATGGGGGTACTGGACATAGTATGGCAGTTATTGTCTAAGGCCAGTGTTAGCTTCAGTCCCTTAATGCTATCACCTATGATATTCAGGCATATTAATTACCTATATTATATCCTCTTTCTGTTTATAATTATTCTTCCATAGAGGGTCTTTGACCACTGTAACCATAGCAATAAGTAGGGAAAATGAGAAAACTGGATGAGAAGCAAAGATATTAACTTGTTGAAGTTCACACAGCTGAAAAGTAACCATTTAGCAATGTGGAAAGAGGCCTGAATTTTTTTTTTAAGACAAGTTCTCACTATGTAGTCCAGGCTGGCCCTGAACTCATGGGAATCCTCCTGCCTCAGCCTCCTGGGTGCTGGGATTACAGGCATGCATCACCATGCCCAGTTCGGGAAGGCTGAATGTTGCACTGGTCTAAGAGGCACTGCTGTGATGTCCAGTGGAGTGGGAGGGAGAGAGAGGAGGTACAGGCATGAGGAAGAACTGTAAATGCACTGGTGTGGGAAGAAACTTCTTAGCTCCCCCCCTCCCCATGCATACCCCCCCCCCGTATACCTTCAGGATCTTGTATTTGATCTATTCTCAGACCCAGGTGTAGTGCTAGATGCCTGTAATCCCAGCACTCTAGGAGGCTGGGGCAGGAGGATCACAAGTTTGAGTCCAGCCTGGGCAATTTAGTGACTTAGGAAGACCCTGTCTCAAAATAAAAAATAAAAAGGGCTGGGGAATGTAGCTCAATGCAATGATCCTCTGTCCAATTTCCAGTACATACATACATACATACATCCCTAGTATGGAAAAAAAATCTATTCTCAGAGGCCCAGATTTATCTCATTCATGAATAGGGACAAAATATGTCCCAAAGCTGAGACACCGATAGCCTCGGGTCCATACCTTGCTGACGATGATCTGCTCCATGACTACTGTCTTAGCTACTTTTCTCTTTGCTGAGACAAAATACCCAACACCCAAAGTTAAAGAAGGAAAGGTTTATTTAGCTCACAGTTTGTAGAGGTTTCAGTCCATAGCCAGCTGGCTCCAAGGCAGGGAGCATCGCAGAGAGAAACAGTCCATTGTAGGCAGAAGACAGCAAAAGCAAGCAAACAAACAGTGACAAGCCTCTTTCTGCTTCATATTTTATGCAAGCTACCCACCCTTAGGGTGAGTAGCACTCACAACCTTAGCCCTAACGCCCTTAATCCTAGCATTGCACCAGGAATCAATCCCAGCATCACATATTGTAGATCCAGCCACCTCTGAAAAAGCCCCACCTATGACCACATGAGGCTTTTTGAAAACAGCTAGACACAAGCCTTAACAGCTACCCCTAGGCTAAGATATTCAATGGTGGGCCCTACTGTGTGACTATTGAAGTGAAGAACTGCACTGCCCTTCATGACCAGCCTGAGCCTCAGTTTCCTCAGAGGTAAAATGGGCAACCATTTTATCGCGTTCATTTATTGGAGTTTCCATGTCCTGGGCACTAACCCTTAACATAAGTTCTATCATTTAATACAGCTTTATGAGATAGGTTGTTATTAAAGCCACACAGCTATTAGGCAGCCTACATAGATCTCACTGAGAGCCACTGGACTCATAAGATTCATGAGCTTATATGAGACCATATGTACAAGGTGCTTAGCACAACACTGACCACGTAGTAAGTCCCCAGAGAATGCTACCATGAATAGGAATTGTGAATGATTAAACAACCACGATAAAACTCCTTGGGTTATGTATGGATCACAGGTACTTGGCTGGAATTTTGGCTGCCATCCCAGAGGCATTTTTGGAGACACTCCTGACAAATTCTCTGACTGTGCGATTCCGAGGGCCCCAGAGGATTAGGAGGTGGTATGGGAGAAGGTGCAGGGGGAGTGATGAGTTTCCTGTTAGGAGAGCTAGAAGGTGACATCCCAGGAGGGGCAATTGAAGACACAGGTTGCAGCTCAGTCACTGTCCCTCCAGTGCTCAGCTTCAGAGAGGTCCGGAGCAGAGGTGGCCTTGAACTGCCCCCAAGGCCATTCCCTCCTGTCTGTGGAATAATAAGGGGACAAGTGCTGAGCACACAGGTTTCCGAGGCTGAGCATCTCCCTTCTAGACAGGGACTCTCATCCCTGAGAACGAGCAGCCTTTGTCCTGTTCTCCCCGAGGGACACCTGCCTGTCTGTCTGTCTGTCTGTCTGAGGTGTGCTGAATGCTCAGCAGGCTTCCTCCCGGCTCCTGGGCAACAGGCAGAGCGGTAATAAAAGCCACTGCTGTATTGAAGCAAAGGACTCCTGGAGGGAAGAGCCAGAGGGACCACAGTGGGCTTCTGTGCCCCCTGGCACCTCTTGGATCTCTGCCTTCTCTAGTTGCCTGTTTGAGCCAACTGTGCGTGGGGACAAATGCTCCCTCAGCCTGGCTCCTCTTCCAGTAGCTGCCCTGAGAAGCCAGCCCCACCCTAACACAATTGGTCTTCGTTATAGAGGAGGATGAGGAAGAGTTCATTGAAGAGGAAGAAGCTCAGGAAGAGGAGGTGTCCACGGAAGAGAAGGAGGAAGGTGAGAAATCCATCTACCTGCATTCGTCTTCCCCCCTCCCTCCCTTTCTTCCTTTTTCTCTTCCTTCTTTCCTTTCTTCTGTAACATGAAGCACTTACTGTGGGCAAAGTGCTGCGCTAGGCAATGGTGCTGACGCCTGGTCCTATTCCCAGTGTGTGCTTTAAACCTGTTAAAGGTAGAGTCCTGTTATCTTTTACCCTTAAATAAAACGACCGAGACATTCATGCTAAAAGGTCTCATTTTCCCTCTATTGACCCTCCTAAATGATAAGTAATACAGCACAAAGAGGGAAAAGACAGCAGCCTCAGACGCCAGGCTGGACCCACTGATTAATTGCTAACATTTTAAAAATTAGGAAATTATTTTTTAAGGATAAAAAAAGGGAGATTTCTTTTTTTTTTTTTTTTTTTAAGGGATATTTCAGTGCTAGGAATCTGGATTTCCACTTCTGGTAGAAATTTGGAAAATGCAAACAATGCTGGGCTTGAACTTCCCCTCAGTCCCAGAGAGGCAGCTCTGGGTAGGACTGTCCCCTTGTAGGGAACAGGGAAAGGGGACATTACTAGGACCTCTGCAGTAAGTCCTAGTCTCCTGTGAGCCACAGCAGCATAAGGTGAATTAATTTACTATACAGGAAAGAGAAAAAAATGAGACTGAGAAGAAGCTGAGCTTTGGGCCTGATCAGTGCTGCTCTGGGCAGCAAAGACGAAAGCCCCCAGCTTACTACACCTTTTATTCAGTACATCAGGAGAACCACATGTAACAAATGACTTGCAGAGAGTTTAGTACATCGGGATAAACAAAGTGTAACAATCCAAGAACAATGAGGAACTGAGTAGATGAAGATTTTGTTCCTCCCAGGATGTCTTCAGCTGGTGTAATCTTGTCCTGTAGCATCACAGCATCACTGGATCATTGAGGTCTCAGTTGTGACTGGAGGCCAAAATGGAATTATGTCTCAAAATGCCATAGCTGGCCTGTAGGCAGGAGAACTAGGCCTAATCAAATGGTTTTTCCCTAAAATTGTATAGCATTGCTCCCAACATCCCCTGTATATTTTTCTTTTCTTTTGTTTTTGAGACAGAGTCTCGCTTTGTAGTTTGGGCTGGCCCTGAACTCACTATGTAGCCCAGGCTGGTCTCGAACTTGCAGTGATCTTCCTTCCTTTGCCTCTCAAGTGCTGGCATCACAGGGGTGTGCCACCATGCCCAGGACTGTCCCCTTTAAATGGGATGTGTACTTGGGGGCTTGGCTGGCCTCACCACCTGCCACAGGCAAGCCTGTCTCATTCATGTTGTCTGCTGGTCCTGTGGGTATCTGACTTTGTCACCCTGGCAGAGTTTGGTTGAGAGCCTGCCTCCTGAGTCACAGCTCGACACCAGATGAGCTGTGTGATCCTGAGCAGTTCTTAACTTCTCTGAGTCTTGGGCTACTCATCTGCTCATGGGGGCAAAACAGTACTGACTGCATATACTTGTTAATTTTTGTGGTTATTTTTTGCAGTACTGGAGTTTAAGCTCAGGACACCACGCATGCTAGGCAAATGCTTCACCACTGAGCAACATCCCCAACATTTTTTTTTTTTTTTTTAGGTAGAGTCTCATTAAGTTGCCCAGGCTGGCCTTAAACTTGTGATCCTCCTGCCTCAGCCTCCTAATTAGCTGGAATTACAGGAGTGCATCACCATACACAGTTGCTAATGTTATTTTTCAATCCTAGTTTGTGGAACTAAGTGCCAACCCAGTGGAAAAATAGTTTTTGGAGTTTCATACAAGATGTGCAATCCATAGTGTTTGGGCAGCTAAATTCTATTTTGATTTAAAAAGGAAAAGACTAGGCAGGAAATGCAGTTTGACCTTCTGATTTGTCACTGTAGTTTGGTAAGCCCTGCACCCTCCCGAGTCCCTGTCTCACCGTGTGGCTCTGTCTTTTTATTTCAGGACACCAGTAAGGAGCTGGACGAGTGAGAGACCCTCTGGATGCAGAGGGACGGGGGGGATGGGCCCAGGGTGGGAGGGATGGGGCCCCTGGAGGGGCAATGGGGAATTGTGCCTTCTCTGCTCAGAGACCAGGGACTAGAATAGCAATCCCACCACTGTGTCCAGCAGTCACTGAACCAGAATTGGAAATGTGCTTGAGACAGTCACACAGGACACTTTTTTACGTTGGTGCAAAATGAACTATTTTGTACGTTTTTAAAATGTGATTTTTGTATATACTTGTATATGTATGCCAATTTGGTGCTTTTTGTAAAGGAACTTTTGTATGATGATGCTCGGTCACTATGGACTGGCCATTGTCTGCAGGAGGGAAAGGAAGCCAGTGGGTAGAGCAGCCCACTTACTTCTTCCTTGGTGGGAGGGCTGGGTCACACTCTCACAGGCCTAGAAAGAGATAATGTACTGTATTTCAGTGTCCATCCCTGATGTGAGGGAACTGAGTTTGTTATATGTTGTTTTAATAAATGCACAATGCTCTCTTCCTGTTATTACAAATGAGTGGAGGTTTCTTTCACCCTGTTTTTGGGAGGTTAAGAGTTGAGCATGGATGAGCAGGTCTGAAAGGTAAAGGACATGGGCAAGGCTGTGCTCAGCCCACCAAAGAAGGAGACCTTTCCACCAGCATTTCCAGTGCACTTGCCGTGGAAATCTGGCCCTGAGATGATCCTCACCAAACAGGTTCAATGCTTGCTGCTCTGGTTCTCCAGAAAACAGGCCTGAGGCAAAGTCTGAATGCTTTGGGAGCAGGACCAGTCAGGTGGGAGACAGCACAAAGGAATACAGAAGCAAGGCAGGCAAGGAGGGAAGTGGATGTATATAGGTGCTTCAATACTGAGCTGGCAGATGCTTCTAGCAGGCCATGACTCAAACTGTTCATGAGGGGAAGAAGGAAAATACATCTGTCTGCTGGCTCCTTCCTCCTCCTGTCTCTCCAAGTTGAAGTTTGCCTCCCAAGTGTTAATTCCCCCTGTATTTCCAGGTGGCATCACTTGGCCCCTTGCTGGGGCAGCTAGATGGCTCACCATTGCTCACATCCTGATGCTTCCCTTGAGTCTGGCAGTGGCAGGAGGAGTCAGAGCCTCCATGGTCCAGCTGGGTTGGAGCTGCTGCCTCCCCCATTGCATTGGACACAATGGAGGCTGCGCTGCTGTCCAGATTTATCCAGGAAAGGCCATCACAGCCAGCAGCATTAGGGGTGAGGTGATGGCAGAGGCCCCAGTAGCATCAGGCTTTCCAGGAACAAGGGGTCAAGGGCCTGGGAGAGGTGCAATGCATTAGTACTCCATGAACTTCTATCTCAAGGAGCTCAGCAGAGTCTGTCTCATCTCTTAGACACGTGGAACAAAGACAGCTGATGACTTCAGATCAGCACCATCATGTTTATGGTGCATGGAGCACTGCCTGACCCCTAAGCTCTCAACAATGTTTTTGGCAGGTTGAATATTTAACCCAGAAATTCTCAACGTATTTGCTCACATGACATCCCCCAGAACCACTAAACTATGGAACTCACTTTAGGGAAATACTTCAACCTTTCTACCTCTGCCCATCTTCACCTTTGGGAGGTTTTCTTAGGTTAACTCAGACCTTAAGTCTGAGTTTCAAGGAATCAGAATTTGCTCTCATTTCCAGTCCCTTTTCAATATTTTAATTTTTAAAAAATTGTGTAACACACACACACACACAAAACTAGTAGACTTTTAATAAACTATTGTAAGATGAAGCCCTGTGTCACTACTACTCAGGACAAGAGAAAGACTGCACCAGCCCCAAGAAAGCCCCTCCTCTGCTTTCAGGTAGCCCTGTCTCTCTCTTTTTTTTTTTTGGTACTGGGGATCGAACTTGGGACCCTGCGCCTTCGAGGCAGGTGGTGGAACCACTGAGCTAAATGCCCGGGCCAGCCCTGTCTCTTTTTGACAATCACACACTGCTTTTCTTTACAGTTTTTCTCTTTGAATTCAGAATGACAGAGGCTCTCACCCGCCTGATATCACAGGAATCAGTATCAGAACCTGTGCTCATACTCCTGCAGGTTACCGAGTGCATGGGAAGCAGGGATTTCAGTCCCATATCTCTTGTCACTTACCAGAAACAAGGAGTCAGAGCTCCATAGTCAGCTTATCTAAGTTCCAGGAGGATATCTGTTAACCTCCAATGAAGGGTTCCTCCTCTGCCACACAGAGGGCTCTTCCTAAGGCTGCTGTCAAGGATTGTTTTGTTTCATTTTTTGCTGTTGGGAATTGAGCCCCAGGCCTAAGGAATACTAGGCAAGTGCTCTACCCTGGAGCCACATACCCAGCCCATTGGAAAGGTACTTGATTAATAATCTCCCTTTAAGATCATGTTGTAAGAGAGGAAAACTGGCATTGAGGGAGTTCTTCCAAAGAATCTTGAATACAATTCACAGGCTGCTGCATCAGAATCACCAGGGAAGGTTTATTTTTCCCTAAGCCTTTAATTCTGGGATTTTTTTTTTTTTTTGTACCTGGGATTGAATTTGGAACCTTGCACTTGTGAGTCAAGTGGAGGAACCACTGAGCTAAATCCCCGGCCCAGAAATTTTTTAGATTCTGAAAAATAGAATATAATAACATCCCTCCATGGACCTATCACTCAGTTTCATTAGTTATTGTCAGACAGTACTTGTTTCTTTTACACCATTACCCACTTCCCTCACTGGGAGTATCTGAAGACAAGTCTTAGATATCATTTTATCCTTCTGTACTGTAGATAATGGATCTTTTAAAAAAAATCATAACCTTTAATTTAAAAACAATTTTAAATCATAACTTCTATACCACAAAAATGAGTAATTCTACAATAACATCAAAGGATCTTAAAATACAAATGTCCAGCCCCCGCCCCAGGCCTACTGAGCCAGACTTTGGTTGTGGAATGTCAGAATCTGTGTGAAGGTTTTTTTGTTTGTTTGTTTGTTTGTTTGTTTTTGAGACAGGATATCCCTGAGTTGCCTGAGTTGGCCTCAAACTTGCAATCCTCCTGCCTCAGCCTCCCTAGTACCTAGGATTACAGGCATGTACCACCACGCTTGGCAGAATCTATGACTTTTTTTTTTCAAGTTTATAAAAGCTTTTACTGATTTCAATCATCCCTGGTTCTGTTTTGTCTATTTTTTCTCCTGGCTATGCATCAGTTTTTTTCTTTTTTGCCTAGTTATTAGTGTGTGGTTATTGAATGTTCAAGTGTATGGATCCTTTTATCCTATAGTATTTGGTTTTGTTCTGCTGACTATCAATTTACTTGAAAGTCACCTTAATCTTTTTTTTTTAAACCTTAATCATTTTTAAGCTCGTTTTTATATTTTGGTAGTGCATGTCTAGAGTATTGTGTTAGTCATTATTCTAAAACATGACATTTTGAAAATATCCACCGAATTTCCTGGTTGTTCAATGAGCTGTGTTTGAGACTGCAGGATTTTAAGTGTGTGAGCTGTTTGTAGTGTCCGTGTAGGTCTTCCTCATAAATGTTTCTCACCTTCACAGAGTCACCATTTGCAAATTTACATCAATATTTAGCCAGAGCTTTAAATGAGTCCCTTTATATATTTTGGATATATCTTTCTCTCTGTGATTACCTTCTCTAGGATAATTTGCCCAACAAACACTAACCAGCCCAGCTTTCCTCATCTCAGCAAGGTTTGCTTCAGGAATTCTTTCTTTAAATTTCAGTCTGGAAAGTTTCTCTACCAAGATGGCCATTAATCCTCCCCAATGGACTTCCCCTTGCATCACATGTGTTTGTCCTATTCTTCTTGACATTCTCTGAAGCCCAGAATCTATGATATTTTAATAAAATTCCACAAGTCCTTTTTTTTTATGGTAGTGGTGATCAAACTCATGACCTTGCGCTTTTGAGGCAGGTGCAATGCCACTGAGTTAAATCCCAGCCCTTCTCAAGTACTTTTGAGGTTTGGGAGCTTCTAGGTCATTCTGGATAGGACCTCCTGGGCATCTCTGAAGGAAACAGGTATATAGTACAGGTAGACCTGGTAGTTTTCAGTGTATCAAAGTTTCAATTAACGAACCTTTTTGTTAGGTGAACTCTTACAAATTGATTAAAATGTATTTTGAGAATACAGGGGAGAAAACCAACCTCAAACTCAGTTTTTCCTGTTACACTCTCACATCAGGCTTCTGATGCCAGGTGCGCGCACCGAGCAAGCAATTCTGTAGCAAACGCCAGCTGGATGCCCTCCAATTCAGTTCACCTCTGAACAGGAAAATGCTAATTTACATTCATTAGTTTATTATAAAAGATATTACAAAGGATATCTGGAGCCTCCGTGTGTTTGGCTATCTGTTCTTCTGAACTGTTATGGAGACTTCATTGCAAAAGCATGATTAAAGCATGGACAACCGTGTAGCAATGTGATTGGACACAAGAGCTGTGACCTAATGCAAACAGACTGGATGGGGAGACTCGGCAAGGCCTGTCTGTGCAGATTCCTCATGGCCCTTGGGTTGTAGGGTTTCTTCCTCCCCGGTGTGGGCAGGACCCCTCTGGAGTCAGGTGGGGTGTGACCTGCTATCAGACAAACAAGGTCAGAGAGTTTCTTTAGGGCCAGTTCTTACAGAGTAAAGTGAGGGAAGGTTAGAGTTTCCGTGACCTGCCTTAGGGAAGAGAAATTCTAGTTTTTATGGTTTGCCTTGAGGAAGGAGTTATGAGCCAGGAATGGTGGACAAAAATCAGAATATGAAATTGTGATATATGGTTGATAGTATTGATTTAAAGGAAATCTACTGTAAAAGTTTTTATAAAATGAATATATGCAGCAGGATCCAACTTGTAAATCTGCATTTATTAAGAATTTACAATGTGCTTTGCATTTAAGGGAACAGAGCTTTATAAGAACCCATTTTTTGACTTCAAATAGGTTATAAGACAGGAACCTGAACATAGGGCAGTTTGAAATGACAACCTCGCCAGGTATGGTGGCACACACCTGTAGTCCCAGCACTCAGGAGGTAAGGCAGGAAGATCACTCAGAGTTCAAGGCCAGCCTCAACAACATAGCAAGACGCTGTCTCAAAAAAAAAGAAACTACAACTTACATCTGCGATCGCCCAGCACAAACTGCCAGGAACAACACTTGCCTCACTGTCATCTGATTAAAGTAACCTACCCTATAGTCTTCTATTTATTTCAATCTAATTTAAAGCATTTAATTATGTGGCCTGCAAATGCTCCGAGCTAAGCTAAAATGTAACAAGTACCCAATTCACCCCTGCTGTCAGAGAAGAAGGATGACTACAAGTCTGAGATGACCTGCAAGAGTTCCCAGAGCTCCCCAGACTTTACTGTGCAGACCCCTCCCCTCAATCTTGGGACTATGCAGGTTCCATGTCCAGAGATCCAGATTTAGTTGGCTGGATGCAGGGACCTGTAACCTGCATTTTAGCACCTTCTCCAGGTAATACCAAGCTTGCTGGTCCGTAGCCTATACCCTAAGAAAGCTAGAAAGTCTTGGCTGGGGATGTAGCTCAGTGGTACAGTGCATGCTTAGCATGTGCAAGGCCTTGAGTTTGATACTCAACACCAAAAGAAAAAGAAAAAAAACAGGAAGTCTGAGATTTTCCACCTTCAGAGTCCAAAGGAAGTGGAAAGGCTCTGAGCAGGTACCTACAAGGCACAGATGCTCAGCCAGACCCAGTCCTTGCACTCTGTCCCTTACAAGATGACTCTTATAGGGGGATGGACTGAAAGAGCTCCTCCTTGTCCCCAGTGGTGTGAGCAAGAGGCCCAGACCCCACACTCTTTCTTCCTTTTTTTTTCTTCTCTGTCTCTCTTCTTGTGGTGCTGGGGAATGATCCCATAGCTGTATAGCTTGGCCACTGAGCTACACTTCCAGCACTAGACACTTGTTTCTGTGATGGGCCATACCTTCCAAGCTCTGGTCCTGGTGACCAAGGGCACTGGGGCTCATGGAGTGACGGCCCAGGGAAGGTCACTAGCCGAAGTTCTTTCTGAAGAAGCAAGATATATCACGTACAGGTACAAATTCCCTATGATGAACGTTATCATTGTGTATATCTAAATGTACCAATAAATGTTTTGCTTAAAACACACACACGCACACACACACGAGTTCTTTCTACACAGATGGCACCTGTTAGAGGCTGGTATGGAGGCCACAGGTCCCAAACCCCAGAGACTGGGCTGTGGGACACTCCTTCCGGTAGGTGGGGGACCAAGCTGGCATTTAGGCACAGGCCAGCTTCCATCCTTACCATCACACATGACACCATCGGTCTGCATCTCCCAGATGTTTGCCTGTCCAGCTTTCTGGGACCCCTTGAGCTGCTTCGAGGGATGGGATAAAGTATGGCGACGGTGGTGTCAGCTCTGGACAGTGATTCTTTTTTTTTGGTACTGGGGATCGAACTTGGAACCTTGCGCTTGCAAGGCAGGTGCCGGAACCACTGAGCTAAATCCCCAGCCCAACAGACGGTGATTCTTAATGAAGCACAACACTGTTCCTTATGGGGTGGAGATAAAGTTGGCCACTCCAGGCAGGCAAGGTGGCATATACCTCTAATCCCAGCACTCCATGAAACTGAGGCCAGAGGGTCACAGGTTGGACCCTAACCCGGGCAATTTAGTAACTTTTATTCTGTCTCAGAATAAAAAATAAAAAGAGGCTGGGGATCTAGCTTAGTGGAAAGGCTCTGGGTTCAATCACCAATTAAAAAAAAAAAGTTGGCCACTGCAGATTCTAGCTAAGAGCACACAGGACAGGAGGAACAGGCGCTGCTTCAGTGGCAAGGAGAGCACCGCCCCAGCTGAGGGGAGACATACTCCACCCCCAACCGGAGGGAAAAGCTCCAGCCGGTTCAGAAGTCGCCCAGCTGAGAGGGGGCAAACGATTCAGCCCAGAGCAGCCTCCGGTCTGAGGGGGGATGCCCGGCCCTGGCCGTAGGAGTCGCTATTCCGAGGCAAGGAACCACACTCCTGCCTTCAGGGTAACCAAAGTGGATTTCTAGAAATCAAGGTTCTGCAACTTTTCAGTGGGGCACGGCCTACCCTCGCGGGACAGAGTGGGCCCAGCAGTGACTCTGTGCCAACTTAGCACCCCACGGCCGCGCTGCACAAGGGCTGTTAGGATTTCCTTGCAGGCAGCTGGGCTCTTCGGGACCCCTCTCAGGGAACCAGTGAGCGGCGGGGGGCAGCACCGCGATGCCCTTTGCAGCCGGCCACCCTCCTCCCTCCCCGCGGGCTTTTGCACACGACGCGGGCAGGCAGCTTCACACGGGGTGGCGAGGGCCGGGATAAAGCAGGCTGGTGCGGGGCGCAGAGGCCGGGGCGCAAACGTGGAGCGCGGAGGCGCGGGGCTCCGGGGCGCGGAGCGGGAGAGGCTGGTGGTTGCGGGTCTAGGGCGTTTTCAGCGAGGCGGGGGCGCGCAGGGCGGCATGGAGGCCACAGAGAAGCAGCACCTGTTGGACCCCAGGCGTGGAGCCGGGTAAGGCGAGAGCCGGGTAAGGCGAGCACTGGGGCGGCATCCGACTCAGCCCATCTGGCTGTGGTTAGTTTTGGCTGCAGCCTGAACTGGGACCACGCCAGAGGGGCTGGGTGAGGCAGGGGGAAGGGGAAATTGGTCGCGGTCCCATGCTCCGGATACTATTTCTGCCTTTCTGCTGTGGAACAAGGGTCCTGACCCCAGTCTGAGGGAACGGGGTCGGGACTACGTCTGGAGCCCCGCCCACACTCCAACCTTTGCCCCCGGGCTGCCCAGGGGAGGCCACGTGCCCCAAGTGAGCCGTAGGGGTCCTCTGCTCTTCACACTGAGCCAGAGCTCTGTTTTTTCTCCACGCTCCACTGGACAGCATGCCTCTTGGCCAGTGCCCAAGGTCTGTCCACCTCTAATTCTTGGAAGAGATGAGGGAAGAAAGAACAGCCCAAATCCAAGGCCCCAGGACTCCCATTTCTCCAGCATCGGTCCCCTCGGAACACGGGCTTCCCACCTTCTGGTCACTCCACCAGCCCCTGAGCTTGGAGTACTCTTAGCTCTTCTTTCCACTGGATACATAGCAACACCAAGGCCCCACCGAGAGACGGGACTGGAGTCGGCGCTCTGCCCCTGTCTCCCAGCTGAGTTCCCTCTCTCTTCCTCCCTGGGCAGGTCATATTTAGGATCTCTGTGGCCCCAGCCTGGCCTGGACTTCCAGGCTGTTGAGCTGGCTGCCCAGAGCAACCATTACTGCCATGCCCAGAAGGATCCAAGCAGTCACTGTGACCTGAAGAAGGAGCGGGCTCGTCGCCAGCTGTATGTGGCCTCTGCCATCTGCCTGGTGTTCATGATCGGGGAAGTTATTGGTAAGAAGTTTTGTGCTAATTAAATAAAGTTGGAACATGGAAAGCCTGGATGTTCCCAGAAATATGAATACCCACAGCCCCATTTATTAAACACTCATTATACTAACCCCTTCATACACATGCTATTTCATGCAGTTCTCACAGCCAGCTTATGCTGTCAACTGTTTTCCCCCCCTAGTACTGGGGGTTCAACCCAGAGCGTTCATACTGAGCTACATCCCTAGCCCTAGTATTTGTATTTTGAGAGAGGGTCTCACTGAGCTGCCCAGTCTGGGCTCGAATATTCAGTACTCCTGCCTCAGCCACTCAGGATGCTGGGATTATAGGCATGTACCACAGTGCCCAGCTTATTTGCCTTATTTTACAGATGGTGAAACTGAGACATGTTAAAGTTTTGGGGTTTTTTGTTTGTCTGTTTTGGTTTTGGTTTTTCATTTGTTTGTTTGTTTTTTCTACCGGGGATTGAACTCAGGACCTTGCGCTTGCAAAACAGGCACGGTGCCACTGAGCTAAATCTCCCGCTCCTGAGACATATTAAAGTTAAGTAACCTGCCAAACATCACACAGAGCCAGTAGGTAAGGGAAGTCCCAAATTTCTAGAAGGAAAGTACATTTACTGAGTACCTGTTATGTTTTCCAGCCTGTGTTTGAATTTGATTTTCACATTTACCCTCTAAGTAGATTTTGTTAACTCATTTCATAGAGAGTGGAAGTTGAGGCTCAAAGAAGGTAAGCCATTTACTTATGGTTGTACAGCTGATAGACTGAGAGATCTTGAACCCAGTGTGTCTTTTTGCAGAGCCTGTGGGCTCCCTGCTGCACATAGTCTGGGGAGTTGGCTCTCAGGGACTTGACAAGGACCCTCACTCTCCTGGCCCTGGCCCTGTCCCTGCAGGTGGGTACCTGGCGCACAGCCTGGCCATCATGACCGATGCAGCCCATCTGCTTGCTGACTTTGCCAGCATGATCATCAGCCTCTTCTCCCTCTGGATGTCCTCCCGACCGGCCACCAAGACCATGAACTTTGGCTGGCAGCGAGCTGGTGAGGACACCTGTTGGGCTAAAGATGGGCTTGAAAGAGAGAGGGTGGATCAGAAAAGAGGATGGATCTTAGAGTGGATCCTTGAGTGAGGCCAGGAGGGTGCCCAGGGTGGGGAAGAGGATGTTAGCCAAGGCCTTGGTCCTCTGGGAACTCAGTCTATGGGGCAGCCCTGGTCCCAGTCATCCAGGAGCTCTGATTGTGCAGATAAGCAAAGTTCACTTTCCTAAGAATGCAGTGGCTCAAGAACTTCAAGCACAAATGACAATGGCATTAGCACTGTACGTAACCCCGTGAATCAGCTCTGGGGGGAGGGAGAGGTCAGCAAAGGCTGCTGGAAGACACAGGCCTTAAACTCCATCAGTTCACTTTGGAGCTGCATTCATTTTCCTCTACTGGGAGATGGCCCGGCCTCCTTTCCTCAGATGCCTACTTGCCAGCTGATCAAAAGGTATATATTATAAGTCAGTTTTTTTCCATGTAAAACGAACAAGGTTGACCTGCATGACTTCTTCACTTCCTTCCAGCCCCGACATGCTCAGATGTCTGAGTGTTGGGGTAAGGTGTAACAATGCCAGCCACACCTTCAGTGGGACTCAAAGGGACCCAAGCCCTGATTTTGCAGGGAGGAGGAGAGACCATGAAGTGGGGAGGCCCCCAGCTGTAGGGTCCCAGCTCACTCTGGTGCTGGGGCTTGGTTCTTCCCCAGAGATCCTGGGAGCCCTGCTCTCTGTGCTGACCATCTGGGTTGTGACCGGGGTGCTGGTGTACCTGGCTGTGGAGCGACTGGTCTCTGGGGACTATGAGATCAAAGGGGGCACCATGCTTATCACATCGGGCTCTGCTGTGGCTGTGAACATCATGTAAGTGTGGCCTCGGTTCCCTCGGCATGCCCCCCTCCCCAGGCTCACTTTGCTGTCATTGGAAGGCCGTGCCACAGTCCAGCACAGGACAGGGACAAAATGTCCCTAATGCTCTGAGCTCTGGCACCTGGGATACCTGAGTCCTGCCTCAAGCTCAGGCCAAGTACATTGAGGGCTATAATCAGGGCTCACATCAACTCTACCCACTTCCCCAAACATGTTCAAATAACCTTAAAGCCCTCGTACCTGCAGTGGGGAGGGATGAGTAGACGTCCCGGGAGGCCTAATCCATATCCTTTTTCAAGCTGATGTGGCTGAAACTGGTCTTGGTGGGGGCAGTGATGTGTTGAGCATGGGTGTTTCATTTGGGCCTTTGTCTCGCTTGTGTAGTGGGCTCAGTTCCCACATCTGTGACATGACAGGGTGAACTAGATGACTTTCACACTGCCCTCCTGCCTGAGATTGTTGGTCAGCCCTATGAGTGGCTTCTGTCTTGCTGATTTGAAGCCTCTACTGCTACTCAGTAACCGCCTGGGCCCTGTCTCCACTTCTATAGAATGGGGTTGATCCTTTACCAGTCTGGCCACGGGCACAGCCATGGCAGTGGGCACAGCCATGAGGACACCAGCCAGCAGCAGGAGAACCCCAGCGTCAGAGCTGCTTTCATCCATGTGATTGGGGACTTGTTGCAGAGCTTGGGTGTCCTGGTGGCAGCCTATATTTTATACTTCAAGGTCAGAGCAGGGGACAGAGGGAGGAGGATGGGGCAGGGGAGTGCAGATCAACTGGGGCTCCTCTGTGCTTTGGGCACCTCCCAGATTCCAGCTCCCTCCCAGCTCTGGGCAAAAGGTTGAGGAGAGGGAAGGAATATTTATTGAATACCTACCAAGTACCAGCACTTCTGTTCTTCACAACTGCCCCCAAAAAGTAGGTAGCAGTGTTTTATGCAGCCCAGAAAGGCTTGAGGACTTGCACAGTGTCACACAACTGGCAAGCCAGATTCAAACCCAGGATTATGTATTGCTGGATCCTGGACACTGCCCATTACATAGAGTCAGTGAGCTGTTGTGGAGAGTCAGGCATTGGGTTTGAAGCCTGTATGATGAGAGTGAGTTGCCTGCTCACATTGAGCCTCAAATTCCTCATCTATAAAATGGGAATGTCAGGTCAAATGCTGTGTAAGGTTCCTTTTAGCTCTGCTCATGTCTCAGCCCCTCAAGCAAGGAAAGACAGTGAGGGCCTGGGCCACATCCTGAACTGTGATATGACCTGTCTGTTCTTCCAGAAGTGGAATAAAGAGTAGAAACTAGGAGGCAGGTTAGGGTGGGGCTTATGGCCACCCTGTAGAGAGAGCCCTGTGTCCTGATAGTGCTGGGGCGGAGAGGGAGCTGAGGTGTTGGCTGGTGAAGCCCAGGTCTGCCTTGCCCTTTTCCTGTAGCCGGAGTATAAGTATGTGGACCCCATCTGCACCTTCATCTTCTCCATCCTGGTCCTGGGGACAACCTTGACCATCCTCAGAGATGTGATCCTGGTGCTGATGGAAGGTAATCTGGGCTGTGGGCTTTGTGGGCTTCATTTTGGTTCTTGGATCTCAAACCATAATCTGCCTCAAATTGTGTGTGTGTGTGTGTGTGTGTGTGTGTGTTTGTGTGTGTGCAAATCCAAGCACATTGGTGGGGAGCCAGGTCCTGGAGCCAGCCTGAGCTGGAAACCTCCTGGGGCCCCCAGCTGACCTTGGCCTGGTGCTGAGCCCTCAGGTGTGTCACTTCCTGGAAAAGTCCTTGGCCTGTCACTGCCCTACCCTCTAGCCCCAAGGGTGGCTCCTCCTCTGCCAGGGGTGTGTCTTGCCTGCCTAATCAGGTGGCCTCTGGGTGGCATCTGTAGCACCTGGAGCTCCAGCCTGACCACATGTCCAGCCCCAGCCTCTGCTGCCTTCTCAAGAAAAGCAGATGAGATTGTGTTTCCCATGGCATGGGGAATGGCTGAGGCTCAGAAAAGGGCAGTCAGTCTGAGTCCACCCCTGCTCAGGCCTTTCCTGCAGCCTCTCAGGGTCCAAACCGTACCCTGGCTCAGGAGGAGGGGCTTCGGGCTGGTGGAGAATGGTCTGCCCTGACTACCACTCTCCTTCACTCAGGCTTTCTTAGGCTTTAGGGTTTGGGGCTTAGGCTGAGGTCATGGGTCTCTACATGGTCAGGGTCAGTTTGGAGTGAAGTTGGTGCTGTTGGTCTAGGGTTGGCGGGAGCATTTGGCTGTGGGTCAGGGCTTTTTTCCAACAAGATGACTGACTTAGATAAAATCGATGATGATGCCTCAGGCGGGTGCTGGAACTCTCAGGTTCTGTTCCTTCTTTCTTCCTTCCATTAAAAATAAACACTTATTGGGTACCTTAGAGGCACACACTGTTCTAGGCACTGTGGATACAGTGGTGAATAAGACAAGAGCCCTGCTTTCATGGAGATTCTGTCCTAGAGGAGGAGACACATACACAGTCTAACAAGATGCTTTCAGATGGTGTTAACTGTGAAGAGAACATGCCAGGATGCATGGGGAGTTGGGGAAGTGGGGCAACATCAGATTTCCCAGAGGAGAAGGGTGGGAGGGCAGCAGCACCCTCTAGCCCCTGTCCCTGCTGTCTTCAGGGACTCCCAAGGGCGTGGACTTCACTGCAGTGCGGGATCTGCTGCTGTCAGTGGAGGGGGTGGAAGCCTTGCACAGCCTGCACATCTGGGCTCTGACCGTGGCCCAGCCCGTGCTGTCTGTCCACATTGCCATTGGTGAGTGATTGGGACACTTGGTCGGGGTGAGGGAGTGAGGCCACAGCACAGGCCTGAGGCCACACCCATGGGTCTTGGTGAGTCCCTGCACTCAGCCTGCACTTGGAACATATTGCTTCATTTGCTCCTCACGATCTTATTTACCCAAGAAGAAACTGAGGCTGGGGGTGGTAGCAGTCAAGTCCCTTGTCTGGGCTCTTGCAGCAAACAAGTGGAGAAGAAGCAGATTCTCTCAAGGCTGGTGCTTTTCCTGCTCTTTTAGGCCTGGGCCAGGTATGGGGTCTGAGGGTTTGCCTGATGCAAGAGAAGAGTCTGATGGCTTCTTCTTCATTTTCTTTTGTGGTACTGAGGGTCAAATCCAGGGTTGTTCTACCGCGGAGCTACATCCTCATCCCTTTTTTATTATGAGACAAGGTCTCACTAAGTTGCTTAGGCAGGACTCACACTTGAGTTCCTTCTGCCTCAGCTTCTCAAATGCTGGGATTACAGGAGCAGGCGATCATCCAGCTTCTGGGGCTTCTTCATGTTTGTGGTCCTGTACCCAGTTCTGCTGGGGGTAGGCAGGAGACTTCGGCCCCAAGCTTGAGTAAACAGGCCTTTGGTCCCCCCACCCCTGTGTCTCTTGCCTCAGCTCGGAATGCAGATGCCCAGGCTGTGCTGAAGGTGGCCAGCACCCACCTCCAGGGCAAGTTCCACTTCCACACTATGACCATCCAGATTGAGAACTACTCCGAGGACATGAAGGACTGTCAGGCATGCCAAGACCCCTCAGACTAGCAGCCTGGCCAGCCACCAACTGAGGCACGACCAGGACCTGCAGGTGGCCAGACCAAGGGTCCTGCAGCCAGGACTCTGCATACCCTCCACCGCTCTTTGCTCCAGGTTCAGTGTGGAGCTTTATCCCTTACAGGAGTGGGGTTCTTCCTGGCCTCCCCCATCTGCCCACAGCCAGCTCTGGGGTGAAGACTGGGCAGATGTCAAGCCAGCGTGACTCCTCTTCTCCACCTTGGGGTCAGCTCCCCATAGGGGTGTGTTTGGGTCTGGTCCCTAGCTGGTGTCACCCTGAGATCCACAGTGGGAGTCATTGAGGCATAGCCTGGGGTGACAAGGAGGAGACTGGCCTAAAAGTTCCCCCACTGGCCTGCATTTCCCACCTGATTGCTCTGGAATGGAGCCCCTCCCTCTGCCAATATGGTTTGAAGGGTCCCTGTACTCAACATGAGTTGCCCTGAGATGTGAAGCCGGGGCACCTGAGGTCTTCCTGTGGCTTAGTCACCTTGGCTGCGGGCCAAATGCTTCCATTTCCTGGAGGGGGAGACTTCTTACTAGGTGAGAACCTGGCTGGTTTCCTCAGTCCTTGTTACCACAGCCCAGGAAGCTGGGGCAACATACAGATACCTTTGACACAGTTTGGGGGGAAAGGTTGCAGCTGGGGTTCAGCCCAAACAACTTCACAGCCCCGGGGCCACATCTCTCACCCTGATAATGTCCAGGGGATTGCAGGGCCTGGAATCAGACATGATTGACCTGGCTTGATTGCCTACCTGGCCTGACTTAGTCAGAATCTGGGCACAGAGGCCATAGCCCAGGGGCTGACTAAGAGGGAAGAGCCTGGCTTCTGGGGTGAACACTGCTGATTTAGGGACTGGTTTGTGTTTATAAGAAGCAAGAGGGGAGAGCTGGCCCATCTCATGGAGGCAACATACCCAGTTATCAGAGAGCCTTGTGCCTAATGTCTGTCTCACCTAATGTCCATTCTGCTGTTATGAGCAAGTGTCCTTAGGACAGTTGGCCTCCCCATTCTTATCTGAAGACCAAGAATGGGCCACCTACCTCACAGGGCTGTTGTGAGGACAGAACCAAAGACCTGGTCACTTGGCCAAGCACCTGGTGTTTGCTGGAGAGTGGTTCCTTTCATTGTCATCCTGGAAAGAGGAGATCTCTGTGGCTTAAGGCTGTCAGGTGGGCTTCCAACCTGCCCAGGGCAGCACTGAGTCTGTCTTGACTCTGTCCTGGCTATGGCAGGAGGAGGAGAGCCTGGTCACTTCCCTCCTTCTTTGAGCCTCTTCCTAAATGATCTTTTGTCTTTCCAGCTCGGTCACTGGTTTGCCTGTGATCTAGAACAGGGGTCCTTTGGCCCCTCAAGGTTTGTGGGATGTCATTAGTGTTGGCCTGGAAGTGGCAGGGGCTAGGGAGGACAGCTGATGCTTGTGCACACCACCAGCCTCAGGGAATCGAATGTCTGCCTTGCAATCCCTGCAGGCCCCAGCAGCCTATATCTTGGGCTTCCCTATGTGCCAAGTCCTTACACCCTTCCCAGGAGACAGTCATTTGTTGTCCTCTTGTTCTTTTTTTTTTTTTTTTGGTACCAGGGATCGAACTTGGGTCCTTGCACTTCCTTGGCAGGCGGCGGAACCATTGAGCTAAATCCCTGGCACCACACCAATGTTCTTGACCCTGGGCCAGACTGCTTCCCTCCTACCTTCATTTTCAGTCCCTCTGCACCTCCAGCATTGGACAGCCCCCTGCCTCCCAAGGGACACCCACTCTGCCCAGCGGTGACAGTCTCCAGGGAGGACTGAGTCATCCAGGGGCCAGAGGTCAAGCTGGAGGTGGGGATGGGAGGTTTGCAGAGGCCTTAGGGACACCATGTTCCAGATGGCAACCTAGTCACGGGAGTTTCCAGAGCAGTGAAGGGTTCAAAGCAGGAAAACATCCGACACCCTAGATGGGCCTGGACCCTTCACCCCCACCCTCTAGTCACCCTGGCTCCTGGAGAGCCACGAGAGGGCCCCTCCCGGCCTGGTGGGTGCAGCTGCTGTAAGTGTATTTATAGCCTGAGCGTGAAGGGGCAAGAACACTCGTTTTATTTCGGAAGTGATAATTCCAGTTCCAGGTGTACGAACCCAGGGGAACCAGCACTCCTCCCCCATCCACCCTTGCCTACAGGGCACTGGGGACAGCCCTCCTCCTGCCCAGTCCTGGAAATGGTTCCTTTTTACTGAGCTCCAAGAGTGCAACCCCAAGGGGCGTGGCTGTTCTTTTTTTTTTCATTAAATTTATTGGTACATTTTAGGTATACAATACAGTTATGTTCATCATTGGGATCTTGTACTTTTACATGATGTATCTTGGTTCTGATTTGTTCCCCCTTCCCCTGCCCTCCCTTCAACCCCTCTACCCCTCCCTATTTACAAAGACTTTGTTTCCATTTTTTTTCCTTTTCTCATTTTTTCCTTTCCCTTCTTTCCTTTCCCCTACCCCTCCCACTTTCCCTACTCCTTTAGGCCTTTTCGTCCTATTACACAATATCAATTATACATTTATTTTTTATTTTTAGTACCGGGGATCGAACTCCTGGGGTCCCTTGCGCTTGCGCATCAGGTGGCGAAACCACTGAGCTAAATCCCCGGCCCTCAATTATACATTTTTTAAAAATTACAATATCAAGATTTAGAGGACATTACCACAGATTTTACAGAATTTAAAAGGATATAGAAAGCATTATTACAAAAATCTTTTAAAAAAGAAAATTTTGGTTTTTTTGGTACTCGGGATCGAACTCGGGTCCTTGCTCTTGCGCAGCAGGCGGCGAAACCACTGAGCCAAATCCCCGGCCCACAGAAATCATTTTCGAAATAAATTTGACAACTTTTATGAAGTACCTTGGAAGACAATGAAACTGACTCTGGAAGAAATATAAAATTTGAATAGCACCTTTTAAAGAAAGTATATTCCTGGCTTGAAAACCTACCTATATGACAACAACAGGCTCGTATATATTTTAACTGGTAAATTACATCAAACATTTAAAGCAGAAAAAAAGGAACACTTCTCCCCTCATTTTAGGAAACCAACATTGTCTTTTCAATTCCACGGGTGTTGCAGACCCCAGGCAGTGCACACTGTTGAGCCACCTCGACCCCTGTCCTCCCTCCCTCCCCACCAGGGGAAGTTTAAAACCCCATTCCCTTTGGTGGAGGGAGTGTGGTGCGGCGCTGACCCCTAGTGGTACAAATCGGTAATGCGGGGGAGGGTCCTGTTCGACAGGGATGCGTCACCTGCGTTCCTATCCCTTTTCCTCCCCAACCCTGGCTTCCCTGAATCTCTGCTCCTTCCCTGGGGCGCCTGACAACTCAGGCGTCTGCAGATGGCTGCCTTCTTCGCGAACTAGGGGTCCAGGGCGGGATGGATACACAGTGTCCACGCCGGCATATATTTAATGTCCCTTCTATCTATTCATCAAATGTTTGAGGCGCAAATGCCAGACCAGAGAGAAGACGCGACCTGCCCACCGGACTCTCCGGCCGGTCTTGGAGGTCAACGGTGTTCACGTTGCCAGCCAGCGTGAACAGTGCCCGAACCGCGAGAGCATCTCCGACACCTAGCCCCGTGAGTCGGGTATAAATGTCAGGCAAGGATCTGAAAGACAAGTAAAGTTAGCTGGGCGGAGGAGCAGAGAAAGTCATTCCAAAAAGCGGATCAGCCGCTGCGGAGCCACAGCAGCAGAGATAGGGCGCTGCCCACCCAGGGGTTGCCTTCGGCCGCCCAGCGGTGGAGAGGGGTGGGCCCGCCGCCCACCCCTCAGGCATCGTGGCCGTGATTGGACGGTCTGGAGTGACGTTTAGGCGACAGGCTGTCCTGATTGGTTCCAGGATGCCCCTGCAGGCAGGTGCTGCACCGCCCGGGAGCTGGGCTAGGATCTCCTTGGGTCTCTCCTAGGGCTTCTCCAGGCTGCGGTACTTCTTGCGCTGCACAGACACCGGGTCCTTGAACAGCACGGGGTCCAGACGCAGGCGAGAGGAGACCAGGGGCATGTGGCCGAACTCTGCCGCCATCTGGTTGATGCAGTCTTGGTCTGGGGGCTGAGGGTGAGGCCTGGAACCCGGAACCCCAGGAGCCTAACAGATGGAGGAGAAATGCCTTGATGGGGCTCTCTGTCCTTCTGAGGCTCCCTCAACTCCCGCCCCGGAGCAAGAAGGATTTGTATTAGACAGGAAGAGGGAGCCCCAGCCATGCTCTCCCAGTGCCGTCCCACGTCCGGCGGTCCTCACCAGTGGAGCCGCTTCCTGGTGCAGCTTGCCATAGGGCACTTTGATAGGGGGCAGCTTGGTGACTGCTGCTACTAGGAAGTTCATCAGGACGTCCGCGCAGGCGGGTCCCTCATCCGCCAGGGTCCTCAGGGCCTCGGGCAGGGAGTGGGTGAAGAGAGTGTGGTAATACCTGGGCGAGGGGGAGGACAGGGAGAGGCTGCAGCCAAGTCTCCCCCACCCCGCCCCCAGGCCCCATTCTCTTCCCTGCTGACCTCCCCTCAGCCTTCAACCCTGATCCTAGCCTCTTTCCAAAGCCCTTCTCCCGGCCCTGGCTGGCTCAGAGAGCTCCCACTGGCCCTGCTTGTCTGCCCTGCTCAGGCAGACCGAGACTTGTGGGGCCAGGCAGGGGGATCAAACATGACCAGCCAGATACAAGCTTCAGGGAGACTGTGGAATAACCAGGTGAGGAGATGCTTGTGATACCCAACAGCGCAAGACAGGGTGCTCTACAGACATTAGGGATGTTCTTCACTTTACTGAAAATTCCCTGCAGAGTCCCTGGATGAATCTGCAAGGGGTTCCATGTTACACAGATTGGTTTAAACATGTTGAAGGAATTACTTTGAGGAGCCCCTCTGCAGTGCAATCCCTACCCTAAGAGTGAGGCACTTCAGGCAGCTTTGAGGTGGCCCCCAGCCCAGCAGACCCACATTTATAACGCACGAGAACCATTCTCTTGTTACCCCATCACCACCACCACCAAACCCCAACACTGTCCTTACCACTGAATACTGAACTTCTACGTAAAACAACACTAGCTATTTGTTGAACATGTGTGTGCCGGGGACTTGACTGGATGATCACACCAGCCCTGTGAGGTGAACACATCTCATTTTACAAAGACACTGAAACTCAAGAGAAGTAAGAGACTTGCCCAGAGTGATGTAAGTGGGAAGTGGCAGATCTGGGCCTTGACCTGGGTGCTCTGGGCTCTGGGCCACCCTATTCCTGGTTCAGGCAGGAAGTCTCTGGCCCTCCAATCCCTGCACCAGGCCAGCGTTCGTACCTATGGTAGAAGGCAGCTGCAGTGAGAACCATGGAGAACTCATTGGCCATCTCAGCAGTGTAGCCCCAGCCATCCTGGGACTCATCCCAGAAGTGGTTCCATGTTAGAAAGCCCACCATCCGCTCTGGGAAGCTCTGCCACACCACAAAGGCAAAGTCTACCTGGAAAGAGATTTAAATGAGCTGTGAGGAAGGACTTCCTGACCAACCAGAAACATCTTTGCATCTTATGGAGGCAGGGAGGAGAGGCTGGCCTGACTAGAGGGCCAGGACAGGGTTCAGGGGAGAGAGGATGGGAGCCATTACTTGGAGTTGAAGAGATGTGTAGCATGAATATTTCAGGGACATTTTGAGGGGGAACTTTCTCAGCTAGGAGCCACAAAAATAAAGTTCAAAAAAGTCTGAGAGGCCCAGTGTGGTGGCATATGCCTGTAATCCCAGCATTCAGGAGGCTGAAGCAGGAGGATCACCATGAGTTTGAGGCCAGTCTGGGCTACATAGTGAGTTCAAGGCCAGTCTGAACTACATAGTGAGACTCTGTGTCAAAAACAACCAAAATAAAAAAAGAAAGAAAGAGTCTGAGAACACCTCTGTTAGATTTCTAAAGAGGAAGCTGCCTGGCTTGCTATAGTGGTTCCTCAAGCAAGAGGCTGCATCTCATGACCTGTGGGCCTCCTGGCTCTGCCCTTGGGCTCTGTGCCCACCACACTGGACTCCTCTTGGGCCAGCTCACCTCACTTGTAGAAAGACTGCTGTGGGCATCGAGGCTGAGGATGGCATCAGTGCTGATGGCACTGTATGGAAAGAAGCGGTCACTGACCTGCAGTGGGAGAGGGCAAGGGTGACTGTCACAGGAAACCCACACATACAGTGAGACATGGTGTAGAGGAAGGGCTGTGAATACAGCGAGCCCCAGACTCATCCCACTCTCTGGGTTTCAGGGCCCCCTTTGGTTAAATGGAGCTGGTCTCCTGCCCTTCGGTTGTGACACCTCAGGTTTCCTCCAGTCATTTAGATCCTCACATCACCCTGGGAGGGTTTGTCAGACAGCTCTCATTTGAAGGAAACTGGTCTAGGGAGCTGAAGGGACTTGCCCAGAAGCACACAGCAGATAGGCGGTGCACACCACCGAGCTTCCCAGAAGCCACCCCTTCCTGCCCCCATTTGCTGCTTTCTGCCCACATTTCCCCAAGATCCTAGGTTTCTTTGTCCCTCGTCTGAGACACCCACACTCTCCTCTGCCTTTCCTCCTCACAGAAACCCTAGCATTCTGGAAGCATCATTCATGAGGGTCAGGGAGGAAAGAGAATCATTTCCATGAGGTCTGCAGCTGGAACCCAAGGAATGATTTCTTCAGGCCCATCTCCAATCCTGGCTTTGGCTGAGGCCCAAGCAAAAGGTGCTGGGTGCCTCCCCAGTTCCCAGCACAAGCCCACCCCTCCCAGCTCCCTCCCAGTGCTCACCTTCCTAGGCCCATCCATGATTGTCAAGGGCACTGCTGTCTCCGGCCACCTGAAAGGGAGTGGCCTCTCCCTGCTCCACAGAACCATGATCTAGGAGGGAAGGGGGTTCCTGAAGACTGCGGCCTGGGGCAGAAGGGGGTCCCAGGAGTGACTTTCTCCAGGGGACAGTACCACAGATGCATGTATGAGATGCTTCATTGGATCTGAGGTCTTTTCAGAGACCTGTCCTTGCCTTGGGGCTTACAGAAGGCAAGAAATCTGGTGTGGTTGTGGTAGCCCCCAGCCAGGACCCTGACTCCATGCCCCTCCCCATGTTTTCCTCTAAGTTTTATATTTCCTCTGGCTCCTTTTCATTCCCAGCCCAGCCCAAATGTCTCCCTGAGTAGCTGTTCCTGAGCTGCTTTATTCCTCTTTGAGGATCTACCTGGCTTCTCTGGAAATGTAATTTGACAGTCTGTGTGCCAGGACATGCCAACTGAATCTGAATCCTGGGGCAAAATCTTGTCTTGGTTTTTCTTTGCATGCTCAGTATCAACCCCAGGACCTGACCGAGAAAATAACTGCTAAGTGAGTGAATGAATGACTACTTTTCCAGCCTCCCTGTCCCTTACGCCCACCCTGGATCCCAGGACTCCAGCTGGTGGAGGGGGCAGACCTGGGCACAGTGCTGGGAGCCTGCCACCGCCTGGATGAGCTTCAAAGGGGGTTGGCTGGGGGTCCCCACCCAGATGAGGGCGCTGAATCTGCCTTCAGGGTGGGAGCCTTCAGAAAGGAGACACAGGCTATTAGGGTGGGAAGAGACAGAGCCCTCTGGAGAGATCCTGAGTAGGGGACCCCAAGAGCCAGTATCCATGGCGGAGGCATGGGGAGGGTCTCAGCAGGGCCCTGTGGGTGAGGCTAGGGTAGACTTGGGGACAGTTGAGGGGACTTCGTGTTGTCCTATGCCCAGAACATACTCTGCTGCAGGTGGTAGAAGGGGAAGTCCTGGGGGCTCCTGGAAAAAGTGGACAGGGCCAGGAGTGCCCCTGGAGGGCTGTTCCACAGCAGTGAGGGGTGGGCAGAGGTGCCCAAGATCCGGTCCTGAATAATCTGTGAAGCAAGAGAGGAGGGAGTGGCCAGTGTGGCCTCAAGACTGCAAGCCCTGAGGGGCTGAGGAAGTTAAGACTGGGCAGAACTTCCCATCTTCCCCTTCAGGTTCCGAGGAGGGGGAGGGTGGCAGCCATGGCACCAGACCCCTGGGAGCAGAAGAGTTGAGAAGCTGAAATCTGGAGGGGAAGCATCTGTGATTGCCTCCTACAAGTAACAGATGTGGCAGCCTTGCTGCCTTCCTTTCCTTCCTCACTCACAGCTGACATAACTAACAGATCATAACATTTTTTCAGGACCAAGAATCCTGAAAGATCCTGAGATTCTCCTCCCAACCAAGGCACTGCCATCAACTGGAACTAGCAAACCCTCTGAAATGCATTTCCTTCTTAGATAAGAAAACCGAGATCAAGACTGGAGAGAAAGGGGGCCAAGGTCTCACAGCCTGGACTCAGATACAGCCCACAGGCAAGTTCAAGGAGGAATCTCAAGACTGGTGTCCAGGGGGAGGAGTTTAGAGACCAGGCAGATGAAGGAGGAGTCCAAGGCCTAGGCCCCCACAGGTGAGAGCCCTCACCTCCAGAGTGGTATGGATGACTTTCTCTACGGAGGAGAAGTAGGCATCCCACAGAAACTGAGTCTGCTGTCGCAGGGCGAGGACCCGTGCAGGAGCCATCTCCTGGAGGGCGGCCAGGACCTGGGGCACAGAGGGAGAAAAGGCAGAGGCCTGGGACCTTGGCAGGCCCTGACTGACCTTGGGAGGGAGAAATCTGTGGCTTTCCGCAGCCATTTTTGGCCAGTTGAGTTCAGGGGTCACACAGAGATGGGTTTAAATGACACTTTAGTAACCATGGCAGCCCCAGAGAGAGGCCCAGGGAGGAGGAAATTTATCGATACATGTAGTGAGGGATAGGAATGAAGGCTAAAGCTGGGAGATCAGGATCTTGGGTCCCTCCCATGTCCTGGGCCCAGTCCTCACCAATGGGCAGGGCCCTGAAGTACCTGAAGTGGGAGCCTCTCATCAGCTACAATGGCCGCCTTGGTCCAGTCGATGACCTCAGAGAAGGGCAGCTCCCAGTGGGGGCTGAGAAGCACAGGGATGCAGCCAGCCTGGGGGGCAGGGTGGTCACCGGGCAGCCCAGTCCCACCCAGACAGATTCACCCCCTCCCAGGTCCAAGTCAGCACCAACTGCTGTTGGGGACAGGGGGCAAAGAGGAAAGGAAAGTGGGTTTGGGGCAGACAAGATGCTGTTCTGTAGAGGGCTCATGAACGTGGCCACGGGTACACCTGAGGCCCAGAGTGAAGAAGTGAAACGCTGACTACCCCTTGCCATGGGCCCGTGGCCACCTATCTACCAGCATGAGGAGAGGGGGGATGGACAACAGCGATGCGCAAGTTGGGGCTGTACCTGCAGGGCTTGGAGGAAACGAGAGGCTTCAGCACGTCGGCCAGGGATGAGGCAGAAGGTGGCGTTGGGCAGCTTTTCCCCAGGGTGGGTCCTAAGGAGGCACAGGACAGGTCCCTGCACACGTGAGCCTGAGACAATTGCCCCTTGCCCGGCTCCAACATTCCCAAATTCATAGTGTGAACCATCGTGTTCTCACGAGTTAACAAACATGCATGGCACATACAGCCACACACTGACACGTGCACAGCCATGCCCTAGGAGACAGGATTCCTGTCTGCCCTTGGTGACCTCAGACATCTCCCTTCCCTTCACTGGGCCTCAGTTTACTCATCTGCAAAATAGGAGGCAGTGGGACCTGATGTTTTCCAAGCCCCTTCCACTTCTACTCTGTCACATGCAGACTCTCAGGCACCTTCCACTCAAGTGGCCTCCCTGCCCGGTCCTCCCCCAACCCCTGGAGGAGTCCAGGCCCATGAAAGGCTTCTCTGTCAGGAGGTGGGCTGGGCCCCCAGCCTGGAACCACACAGGAAGCTCTTGCCTAGAGGCCCTATTACCCGCCCCAAGGACAGGCCACCTCTGTTCCTCCACCTCCTACCCCCAGCTCCAGGGCCACACTCAGGCTGGGGGGGGAGGGGAAGGAGTCACAGCCTCCTCAGAGCCACCTCCTTGGGTCTGCCAACCCAGGGAGCCATTGCCCATGACCCAGCTGGGAAGACAGAGGCTGGTGGGGGACCAGGATCCCTGGGCTGCCCAGACTGGGACTGAGGGCTGGGAGCCCAGAGGTTCCCAGGATCCTCCTCTGCTGCAGCCCGTCTGGTTGGCAGCCTGACCTTTAAGAAGCAGACCTGGGAATATCAGACAGCCCGGGGGCCAACCCCACTAAACAAGAGGGAGACTGAGTCCCAGAGGGGGACAGAGCGAGGCCTAGGACTGAGATGTGTCAACTCCTGACCCCAGTTGATGAATCACCCCAGAGGCACTGCTTAGGGGTCTCCAGGGGCCCTGGGTCTCCTTTCTACTCCACTTGATGCCCAGGTGTCCACTGGGCTCCCCCTGAAGAAGTCAAAGTTCAACTTTAGGACACCCTCTGTCACATTAAAAGCCGCACCACCAGCCAGGCAGGTAGAGTCCACTTCACCCCCCAGTACAGTAAACCAGGGGCTGAAAGCCCCTAGGTTTAGGCTTTGGGGAGCCCAAAGAGAGTTAAGGCCTGCTGACTAACCTGCACCCCTCAACCCTTTGTCTCCTTGTTCCCACCTCAGTGCCCCTGTGCACCTGCATCCTTTCCCCTCACCCCAAATGTCCCTCCCTGCCTCGTAGACCTAGGAATTCCTCCCACTCTGTATTAATGTCTGAGCTCACACACCACCTTCTCTGGGAAGCCCCCCTTAACTTCCAGGTAATGTTTGTGGGGCACCTATTTTCTCCAGACCCAGTTCTGTGTGCTTTACACACACTAACTCTATTCTCACAACAGCTATGAGATAGGAAGCATGTACTGGTATTATCTCATTTTACAAAGGAAACTGAGGCCCAAAGAGGTCATTTGGCTTTTATACAGAAGAGCCAGACAGGCGGATGTGCAGCCTCTCTCTGCTTAACAGTGTGTGTCAAGCCATGGACTTGTACATCTCTCCTACAGTGCTGAGCTACTGAAGCCAAGGGCTGTGCCTCCTCATCCTAGCACCCTAGGGCCTAGCAGGGCACAGGGTGAAGAATGGACACTCCGTGGATGGTAAATTGAAGAATGCCCAGTGTGGCACTAGAGGATAGATTCCAGATCCATGGGCCAGGGCCTGGGGCCAGTTTCAGCACAAAATCTAGTAATGGAGCTGGGGGTACAGACAGTCCTGGGAGGTAGTGGGTTTCCCATCAAGAGAGCTAAGTAAGCAGAGGCTCAATAAGCACCAGTATGGCATTTGGGGAGTGTGTTATAGAGGAAACTTGTGCACGTGTGTGGTGACCACCAATGAAGACGTAGCACTGTGTGACTCTGGGATGTTTGGCATAGATCCAGGGCCTCAGAGCCTATGGGCGATCAGTGTGGCCCTGCCCCTGCCCACAGGGGCCTACTTGGGTCTGGCCTCAGGCAAGGCCACAGGGTAACTTCTGTGTGCCTTAAGTACTTTGAACTTTGCAGCCAGTCCTGCTAGGAAAAAGTGTTAAAAATTATATTTGATAGGGCTGGGGATTTAGCTCAGTGGTTCCGCTGCCTGCCTCGCAAGTGCAAGGACATGAGTTCGATCCCCAGTACAAAAAAAATTATATTTGATAACTATGTTGGTATAAAACCAAACTATAGTTTTTTGGGACAGGGTCTCACTTTGTCATGCAAGCTGGCCTTGAACTTGCTATGTAACCCAAGCTGGCCTCAAACTCACAACAATCCCCCTACCTCAGCCTCGGGAGTGCTGGGATTCCAGGTGTGTGTCACAATGCCTGGCCCAAACAATATTATATGTTAGAATGTTTTTCTACCTAAATGGTCATTTTTTTCTTCTCATAGTACTTTTATGCACCTTAAAAAGTATTTTTGGCCTTACACATGGTACCTGTTATATCTGTTTTTTTAAATTAAATTTAATTTAATTTTTGGTACCGGAGATCGAATTCGGGACCTCGAGCTTTCGAGGCAGGCTCCGGAACCACTGAGCTAAATCACTGGCCCTGTTGTATCTAATAGATACAGACTGGGGGACTTGAAAAAAATCTATTGAATACACATTTAGGGTTGGGGATTTAGCTCAGTGGCACAGCACCTGCCTGGCAAATGTGAGGTATTGAGTTCGATTCCTGATACCACCCCCCCCCACATTTAAACATGGGGGACATCTGTGCACATCATGCCTGAACATACACACACACACACACACACACACACACACACACACACACACACAGAGCTTCTCAGAGCAGACACCTAAGAAACTGGAAACTGTGCTTGGCTCCAGAAGGGAAACTGGGTGGTCGGAAGACAGGAATGGAAGTGAGACTTTTACTGTGTACCCTGTTGTGTCTTTGGAATTTTGTACCCTGTGAATGAATTACCTATTCATAAAAATACACAAGTAACAATTTCAGTGGGTGGACCCTTATTCTGAAGCAACAGGGGACTGTTCAACCAAGGTGGAAAAACATAGGTGCTGGAGCCAGAAGTACAGGGTTTAATCCCAACTCCACCACTTCCAGGCGCCAGATCAGAAAAGTGAGGGGGCCTCGAGACAGAACTGTGTCACTGAAGGCCCTTGGTTCATTCACACCCCCTCTCTGAGCTCAGTTTCCTGTGCCCTGAAACGAGGATAGTAGTGGTTCCCTAGAAGAGTGCTTGAGAATTTTCAATGACAGGTAAAGTGCCTGGCACCAGCTGAGTGCATGTGGGACAGTGGCAGGACTGTGAAATGCCTGTTCCTGGCCAGCACTTGTTTATTCAGGCCACCTTCTGAGGGCTGGCCCTGTCTCTGTCGGCCCCCCTCTCTCTATCCCTGTACTGAATGTCTGGCCCAGGAAGCTGCCTGGAGCTTCAGAGAAAGTGAGGGTCCAGCTAACCCAGAGATGACAGACCCTGTCACCTGGCGGTAGGCTGAGGCCAAAGTTGAAGCTCCTTGTGGTTCAGAGGTCAATGAGAGGCTGCCAAGCTTCAGATTTTGGATATATCAAAAAATCTACCTTAGGCTGGGGATTTAGCTCAGTGGTTCCAGCGCCTGCCTCGCAAGCGCAAGGTCCCGAGTTCGATCCCTGGTACCAAAAAAAAAAAAAAATCTACCAAAGCCTGGAGTGGTGACACATACCTATAATCCAGCTACTTGGGAGGCTGAGGCAGGAAGTAACAGGTTCGAGGCCAGCCTGGGCAACTTAGCAAGACCCTGTCTCAAACTAAAACAATTAAAAGGGCTAAGGATGTATCCCTGGGTTTGATTCCTAGCACTGGAAAAAACAAACAAAAAACACAACCCTCTCCTATCCAGAGGGTGACCCATCCTAATTAGATAAACAAACTGACCAGTTCTGGCCCATTTTAGATCCACCAGTGAACAATTTGTGTGCACTCACCTACCTGCTGTGTGCAACTCCCTTAGTTTCTCAGAGTTCAGACTGAAATCGCTTTGCATTCACCAATAACCAACTGCACTTTGCAGTCACCCAAATCAGCCCAAAGTGGAACTTCTTACAAGCAAGAGTGGCTGAATACTGTGCATTCAGACGGAGAGAGGGCAGGACCAGGGAGCCTTGTCACCAAGGGTGAGCATCCATCTCTCCATCAAGGCTCTGCGCTCTGAGCCTGTGGGGCCTCAGGAGAGCTCGACTCCTTGCCTGGCTGCTGAGGACACTAGAGATGGGTCCCCGCAGAAGGGATGGCAGGATCACAGGGCAGTTCCCTTCTTATCCCTGGCCATGTGGCTCTCTGGAGGCCTCCAAATGCCTTCAGGAGGTAAATGGGTTCCAGTCCCACAAGAGCCTTCACGGAGAGAACCCCCAGGAGCCCCATGTGAGGTGACACTGGAGCTTGGCCAAGGGAAGAATTCCCAGGAGGGAAGCAGAGCTCAGAATAGTCATGTTCCAGCAGAGCACGAGAAGGAAGCCCAAGGGAGGAATCTCAGGAAGGAGGAGGGAGGGACAGTTTCCAACCCAGGGGTGCCAGAGGAGGACAGAGGTTGATGAGGGAGCCCTCTGCCACCCCCAAAGGAACTTCCATTCTTGCCTGCCCAGGCTTTAGGGGCTGCTGGCCTCCCGAAGAGAGAGAGGGGCTTCAGGAGCTTGGATGCTAACTCCCTTATCTCCTGAGGTGCATTGCCCCAGCCTGCCTGGGAGAAGGAGTTTCTGCAGGGCTCACCATGTCCCATAGGCCCCGGGGCCCTTATTTATATCCAGGCCCTCTCACTGGCTGGAAGTTCTTCTTTAGATCAGACCTATAACCAAAGGCTGTTTTCTTAAGAGCTTAATCCTCCAAGTTAGCTGGGAACATCTTCTAGCTGTGAGCAGTTACTAAGCTCCAGGGCCCCATGGAGGCATTTGACAGGGTCGACCACTGTACTCTTGCTTAAATTGCAGAACTCTCGAAGGAAATGCTTTAGAAATAGGTAGTTCTGGATTAAAATACTGGCTGTGCTCATTCTGGCTGTGTGACCTCAGATAAGTGACTTAATCACTCTGAGCAGGTACCACCTGATCCTAGTGTCTGGTATAAAACACTTAAATTAGTATTAGCAATTAGTATAAGTTTATTATGCATAATCATTATTTATAAAGGTGCTTATCACAGAGTAAGCACCATACAAGTGTATGTTACATAAAATATTAGGGTAGGGGGCTGGGGATTTAGCTCAGTGGTTCCATTGCCTGCCTCACAAGCGCAAGGTCCCAAGTTTGAATCCCGGTACCAAAAAAAAAATGTTAGGGTAGAAAGGATTGGAATACCAGAAAGAGAGTAAGTAGATGTGAGTCATGCTTTGTTTTTAAAGATTCTCGAGAGAGAGGCCAGGGATTTAGCTCAGTGGTTCCGCCACCTGTCTCAAAAGCACAAGGTTCCGAGTTTGATCCCTGGTACCAAAAACCAAACCAAAACAAAACAAAAAAAGATTCCCGAGAGAGAGCTCTCCAAAATCTGCCTTTGTCCCTTCTTGAGGCAGATCACTGTCTTGGTGGAAGTGCTCTCTGTTGCCTAACCTGACTCCCTCCTGCTGTAGCTGAGACCTAAGTTTGCCAAGACCAGCTGGTCCTCCATGCCAGTCCTGCCCCGCATCCTCATCTCTGGGCTTCTCCTTTCACAGCCCCCCTCCCATCCAGCCCCGCAAAGGGAAGGTTCACTTACTGCTTAGGTCCAAGGTCTTGCTCACAGCGCCCATCCCAGGGGCAGGTGGCAGAGTGAGTACTTGCTGTGTGCCACCTGCCCCCCTCCTCTCCCAGGGCTAGCAGGGCTGCGCTAGGGTGGGGGCTGTGCTGCCGCAGCTGGCCAGGAGCTCCACCTCGAAATGGGTGGGCTTCAGGGAGCAGCGGGAGTGCCACATCGAAGCCAGGCCGGAAGGTGTCCACCCTGGGGCTGGCCTCCGCCACCATGGCCTGTCCCAACTGGGAGGCTCGGGGACAGGAGTCTGGGTGGAGATTGATGACCAGGTGGTTTCTGCCTCCGTCCCAGTGGTGGGGTGCTGGGCCACACTGTCCAGCCGAGGTGCCCTGGCTGAGGAGGAGGAAGAGGCAGGCCTCTGTGAGGCTTCGAGCATGGTAGCGGGAGCCTTCCAGGGAAGCCAGGATCCTGCGATGCGTCTCAGAGGCTGTTCCAGCTGCTGGGTGTGCAAATACCTTGAGGCCGTCATCCCTGCACCTGGAGGTGTCAAAGCAGGTTCCCCAGCTGCATCTGGCACCATGGAGGGCTTGAGAAGGCTGAGGGACATCTTCTGGGGGCTCCTCAGGCTGGGAGAAACTCTGCAGGAGCGCTGCATCCAGCCAGTGGGGCCAGCCTTGGGGGGTGGCAGGTTGAGGTCTGGGGGACACTGCTAGGCGGAGAAGTGGGGAGGCCCCTAGGAGGATGAGGAGGAGCCAGGAAGCTGACAGTGCCAGCCAGAGGGACTTTCTTCTCCAGAACTGCATGTGGCCACCCACAACCAAGGCTGGGGAAAGCCAGGTGCCCCTGCAGGCACACAGAAAGAACAAGCAGAACCTGAGGGTGGAGACCTGGGCTGCGATCAGCTTTCTAGTCCAACACTGTCACTGCACAGATGGGAAAACTAAGACCCATGAGAACAAACTCCCTGCCTAAGGTCAAACAGCAAGTCACTGGCCACGCATGAGGAGCCAGGGAGGACCTAGCTTTCTGGATTTGCTTTCCTTGCTCAGGACTCTGTTTCCTCAGCCTCTGCACAACCAAGTCACCCTTTGCCCCACCGGCAGGGCCCCCTGGCCCTGGGCACTACTCAGACTGATGTAACCCTTGTCCGGACAGCAAAGCAATGTCCCTCTGCCCTCCTGGCTGCCCCCTCTGACCTTGGCCTTGACTGAGAGGAGGGCTGTCTGCCAGGCCATGGAGGACTGGTCAGGGCTCCCACAGGAAACAGCCTTGCTGGGGGGAAGGCTGGAAGGAAGTAGGGCTTGTCTCTCCCACTGCCCCACTGCCTGAACAATCCCTGTGGCTCTGGCTACCCCTGCACCTGCAGCCAGGCACTCCTGTGGCTGGAGCTAAAATTAAACTCTGTGCCCATGCGGGCCATCAGAGTCAGTTGAAGTTAGAGCCCTTTGCCTGGGGGACCGAGAAGACTCAAGGCTCTGGTCCTCTTACACTCTGCCGCTGTCCCCAGCTGGGGCAGCACCAACCCTCCCCAGCCTCACAGCCACCCTGGACCCTCAGGCTTGGAGCTCTCCCAGAACAGAGGCCAGGAGCAGAGGCCAGGTCTGCTGAGCTAAGCCCTGCCCCATGCCCCCCAAGCCCTGCCAGCGCCACTCTGTCTCCCGTCCCTTCCTTCGGGCTGCATCTGGCAGGTCTAGATCTCTTTCCTGGCAGCAGCCTGGCTCCTCCCCTGCCAGCCCTGATTTGTTCCTGGCTGGGAGGCAAGGTCTCCGCTTAACTCCTTCCAAACCAATTTCCTGGGTTGCTGACGACAATAACCAGCAGGTACCATGCCTCATGGTTGGCCACGCACTGTCACAGCTTGTCTCTGAATCTTACAACAATTCTCCAGAGCAGAGATTTCTCTGTCATTTTTTTACAGATAAGAAAAGTGAAGCTAAGACAGGGGATGGAATCCTCCTGAGATGACCTAGCTAAGAAGTCTCTGAGTGGAGATTTGAACCCCGAGCTCTTGACCATCGGTCACCCTGGTTGTGTGTTTGAGGGTGGGAAGTTGACAAATCAGCAGATGGGGAAGTCAACAGAGAAGTGAGGAGTTGGGGTTGTGGCAGGGGAGTTAGGTAAGGTATTCTGACCTGTCCCAGGGATTGGTCCCCTCTTCCTTTGGTGCCCCCATCCTCATCCAGGCCCAGCCTTTTGTCCTGTCAGTATGGGAAGTTCTTCCTGAACTTGGTGCTTCTTTAGTTCATGCTCCGTTGGGGGAACCCCCGGCAGTTCCTTGGTCTTGGTTCCTTCCTCTGTCAGGGGAGTCTGCAATGCACACTGCCACCCACTGAGGAACAGCAGAAGTGATGGGGAGACACAGGACCCCCAGGTTGGTGAGGATGGGCCCGGGTTGGTGCTTGGAAGTGGATTCTGCATCTCCCTGCCTCTAACCCCCCCACCTCTGTAATGGGGATAATAACATCCACCTTGAGATGGTTGCCAGGTTAGATCCAGCCTATCCTCCCAGTGGGGGTCCCTCAACAAGTGCCCTCCTTTTCCTTGCTTGTCTTCCCCTGATCTGAGTGCTGCTGATCTGAGTGCTGCTGATCTGATGGGGGAGATACCATGGGAACATTCTGTCCTACATGAGCAGCCCGTCTAGGGTGGGACATGGTCCATACAGCCAGGAGTGTCCTGAAGATGGCCAGTAAGGGAAGCAGGCCTTTTGCAGGTTGCTCTGTGGTGGCTGACCATTCCTGAACGTACCAAGTGCTCTCCTACTACCAGGGCAGGCATTTGTGCATGCTGCTAATGCCTCCTTGTCTTCCAGGAAGTGGCAAAGGCTCCCTTCTGACAAGAGGCCACCTCAACTGTCCTCGGGCTGGGTCAGGGCCCTCCTCCAGGGCCTCCCTCTGTCCCTGCACTCATCTGTTAATACACTCCTCCACCTGACCAAGAGTCGGGAGACCAGCTCGGGGGAGGTTCCACATGCGGTACTGAGGATGAAGCGCTGAACAGGGCAATGAGGCAGGAGGTAGACGGAGGAGGTCTCTGGAGCGGGTCTGAGAGGCAGAGGAGAAAAGAGGAAGCCAGCTCTCCAAAACCACAGAAAACACCTGCTTCTAACAATTAGGACACACCTGGTAAAAACAAGGGGGCACATTCGCTATAGGCTTCTGGGACAGCCCAAGATAGTTTTCCAAAGACCACAGACAGCATCCGGTTCTAACAACTAGACCACCCCTGATAAAAGCAAGGAGACTCGTGTACTAGGGACCATCTTCAGCACTCATAGGTAACCCCATATAATTATAATCTCATTTGCATTATAGTCTTGATCCTTCCCACCATGACCTTGAGCACCAAGACAGTCCCACAAAGGTCCAGACAAAAAAATCCCCCAAAACAAAAAACCTACAATAGAAAGGAAGAGACTTATTCTTAATTGTTCCTCAATCCAAAGAGCTGCCCCTTGCCTGAAAAAGAAAACCAACCAACCAAACAAACAAGCATAAAATACTCCATATAGCAACTGGTACCTGGTTTCTTTGGGGCTGTGAGCTCTCCTCACTGGCCTGCTCCCATCCTGAGGAATGTAGTTTCACTTTATTCCTTTTTTTTTTTTTTTGGTACTAGGGTATTGAACTTAGGACCTTGCACTTGCGAGGCAGGTGGCAGAACCATTGAGCTAAATCCCCGGCCCATGTAGTTTCACTTTAAATAAACCTGTGCTGCTTTTACTCTCTGTGTGATCTGTTCAATTCCTTGCTCAGGATAACAAGAATTGAGGACATCTTCCAGACCTCAAGCTCATCAAATCCTCTCCCCACTCTCTCTATAAGGGAGATACCATTCTCATCCCCATTTCATGGACAAAGAAACTGAGGCCCAGGGAGTTTAAATTACTTGCCTACGTTCCCACAGCTAGCTAGGGGTCCTAGGCCATCCATATCTTTAACCACGGCACCATTCTGCCTGCTGAGTGAGATGTATGCCCTCTTGTCCTCCTGAGCTCACTGTCCAGAGGAGAAAGAGGCTGGTAACCAGCAAGCACAGAATGGTGGTGGAGGGGACCTGGGAATACACAGGGGGCTGCCTAACCTAGGGGTTGAGACAGCTTCAGAGGAAGTGATGCCTACCCCAAGACCTGAAGGGTAGCAGTGTGGCATTTGGGGGTTTCTCTTGTTTGCAGTGCCAAGATCAAAGCCAGGGCTCCACGGCAGACAAGCAATCCACCATGTGCTTCATCCCCAGCCCACAGCGATGTACTTTCGAGAAAAGCATCATGGCTATGTGAGGATAGCCAGGAAATGGCAGATACAGAGGCAGCCATGGCTTTTGATTTCTGGTCTTGTTCCTGGTTTGGGCCAGGGGGCCTGACTCTGGGGTTCCTGACAGACCGGGTTCTACCATCTGCCGCCTGCCACCTTGAGAGCCCAGAGAAAGTGGTGGCAAATGAGAAAAGAATTTTATTTTCAGTGTGGCCACACTGGGAAGCAGGGGGGCCAGCATCCTCCACCCTGCCTTCAGGGTGCTGACAGGAGCTTTAGGGAAGGAAGAAAGGCTGGGGTGGGGGGAAGAAGTATGCCCAGTTGGTCAAGCTGTGATCTAGTTGACCACTGTCTCAGGTCTGGTTCTTTGAGGTCCTGCTGGTTTTAGGAGGGGCAGTTTGGTTTCTACCATGGGGTAATTGCCCCTTCTTAAGAGGGTAGTCCTACCATGGGGTGATCTGCCTGTAAGACTTGCTGTTCCTGGAATCTTGAAAATATCTCTTATCTTGGTATCTTTGGTCTTGAAGGTAGAAGAGAGAGGTTAGGTAAATTTAAGACTAATCATCCTTGTATTACCAGTTTTTAGACAGACACTCCTTAAATGATTATTGTCTCTACGTACAGAGTGGAGCAGGCTACTAGTTGGCTCGGCTCTCATACATCTTTCTTCCCACAAGCCCTGATAGAATAAACCTCCAGCAAAGGCCTGTTGAATGGTGAAGGAATGGATGAAGAGAGAAAGTCAGCAGCTGGGTAGGGGACTGAGGGACACCTGATCCTGCTCTGGCTGTGGGCTCCCCAACCAGCTTACATCGAACCCTGCATTTGTACAGTCAGATAAGCCCTCTCCTACCTGCATGCCTGCAGGAGAGGCTCTTAGGCCAGCTGGGCCTGGGCTTGTCTGGACTGAAATTTACATGCTTCCAAGCTTGGATGGGGGAAGAGAAGGCGGGGCATCTTGGCATGGAGGACTGAGTTGAGCTCATCCTAAAAATAGATCTCTGTGATCTGCCAGGGGCTCCCAGGCATTGAGAGAGCTCTTCAGTGCTCATCAAAGCCTCCAGGAGGCCCTCTCCTGTAGCAGGGCTCTGACCTATGGGACAGAAGCCAACACACTAGGGAGGAGGGAGCGGGCCAGGGCAGGAAGGAGAAGGCAGCAGTGAAGAGGAAGAGGACTGGCTTCCCACAAGAGGCTGGGCAGACCTGAAGCAGGCCTTTATGTAGATGTGAGGTCAAGGAGTGCTCTGGATGGCAGCCCAGAGCTCTGAGCACTGCAGTGCCTGTTCCGCAGCAGAAGTGACCCCACCCCCTCTCCTGGGGGCTCCCTGGGTAAGGGGTTGCTTCCTGCCACAGACTGCAGGTATCACACTGGTCACAGTGCCCCAGCCAGAGAACAGGGACTAACACCATCATTTTGATCTGAAATATTTTCCCTCTCTGCATCCTGCTTGGACTTCCCTCCCTCCATTCCTTCTCCCCAGGCTGGGCCTGAAATCTCCAGAAAGAAAGGCTGTAGTCTTCAGAGAAGAAAGGCCTGGAACACTAAAGGGCACTGTGGTGAAGAGTACAACCCAAGTGCTCTTACAAAGCTGTGTGTTCTTATATCGAGGACGCTGGCCACGGGTCTCAATCTCCTGCAAAGCAACCCAAGCAAGAGAGAACAAAAGAAAGACACAGAAATGAGACTTAAAGAGAAAGCAGGGATCTGGGATGGTCTAAGCTGCTCTGGGCAACAAAGACAAAAGGCACCCAAGACCTCCAGTATTGATTACAAGTGTGGGAAGAAGTAGGGCAGGGTATACGTGAGACACCTGGCGATAGTGTGTGAGGTATCCGATGATAGCAGTTATTGTTTATTGGTTATCCAAGGCAAGGCTGCAAAAGGGAGATGCTGCTTTCTTGCAGGAGAAAACAAATGAAAATCAGGACTGGGTCATAATTAACCAGCAACCCATCAGGCTAGTGAAGGAGGCCATAATTCAGGGAAAGGGATTTAGTTGGGGTCATACTGACCTCAGCTGGAAGTTAACTCAACAGGGCTCTGCCACATCACAGGCCAGAACTTAAATCTCCACAGCGGCCATTGGCAGAGAGGAGCTATGCTTACCCAGCTCTGCCATCTGACATGCTCACGTGAGTCATGTGGGCTTCTGTCAGACTCCTACTATAATACAGCTGAATTATGGGGATGTAAGAAGCTTGTGCCACTTATAGCCTGGTAGTAAACCAGGCAGAGGTGTCCACTACATTCCTCTGCAAGTTACTTCACCCCTCTGTGCTTCTGTTTCCTCCTACATAAAATGGGGATGCTCATGGTAGCTCCTCTTTAAAGGCTTGCTGGGAATAAGAGGGAGGTAAGGAGTACAGCATTTGGCACAGCATGCCCGGCATGGTATCCTCCATCCCCTCCTCAGACCCAAGGGAAGCCTAGCTGGGGTAGATCAGGACCTGAACTTGGGATTCCCTGTACTGAGCCCTGTTCTTGCTGCAGCTCCACCTCTGTGCAGAAAGGAAGAAGATGCTTGAACTAGAAATTCCATCTGCTGTTTTCATCTGCTGCTGTTCTTCTGGCTCTGGGCTGCCTGGGAGTTTCACTGAGGAATTAACAAATGCTGGGAGGCTGGAGATCTCAGCAGACTCTATGGTCTCCACTCTTACTTGCTTGGTCAGCGATGACCCCAAACTCTCAGGAATCTTCACAAGACTCTGCAGTATCCATCAACTCCAGCTCGAGTGAGGCTTCTCCCAGCCCCAGAAGGATGCAGAGCAGTGCCCACCGACATTGGGTCAAGGGAGATCTGGGCAGGGCCAAGGAAAAAGCCCAGGAGACCAGGGAGGGAGGGTGGGACAGCAGGTTCTGACCTCTGCTCCTCTCCCAGGCATGGCTGTGTGACTTTGGACAAATCACACTCTTTCTCTGGGTTTTTATTTTCCTACCACCAGCCTAAAGTGGTAGCAAGACTAGGCTTTCTCGACCAAAGTTTTTTCTCAGAAGTTGCCCTAAGAATGGAAGATTAATTCCTTCATTTCCTATCAACACCATATAAGGAAAATTATACAAACCTTGGAAGTGAGGCAATGAATGATGTTCATCATCCCACAGGGGTACTGTCTAATAAGCCCCCAAGCCTCATAACATTTCCTAAGGGAGGGTCACTTATTTGAATTTTTACTCCCTAGGCATTTGGGCCTAGACATTTCATGTCTTAAGACTTACAAGAATTAGGGTGCTAGATCCTGGCGTGGTGGCACATGCCTGTAATCCCAGCACCCGGGAGGCTGAGGCAGGAGGATCACTGCAACTTGGAGGCCAGCCTGTGCTACATAGTGAGTTCAAGACCAGCCTGAACTGCATACTGAGACCTTATCTCCAAAAAACAAACAAAAAATTAAGATGTTAATTCATAGAAAAATAAGATACAAATTATTTTTGTCCAGTAGAGATGGCTCCAACCATTACAGGCCATGCACTGTTGGGGAACTCATTAACAATCTTGTTCCAGTATTTTCTGTGCATCATAGACTATATTATCAACAAACTGAGCAAGCATTGTCAATTTGATCATTTCCTCGGCAAGGAATGAAATACAAATTTGTTTCATCCTGCTGTGCTGGGGATCCAATCCAGGCCTCTGTACACGTTCTGCCACTGAGCTACAACTCAGCCCCTGAAATAACTTCAACACATGCTCGCTAAGTATTTGTATGGTCATTTCCTTAATGTCTAGGGGATTATAATTTGGTAACTTGCTGGGCCTCATTTGCTTCTTCTGTAAAAATGGGGGATTCAAGGGAGACGTTGATGCTTGTACTCTCTCAGAGCCAGGCGCTGCTGAGCTCTTTAGATCCATGCTTTCAGTTAAGTCTCACAGCCTAAAACTGTGGGGCAGGTGGCTATTCTCCCCATTTTTCACGTGAGGTTAGTGAGGTTCAGAGAGATGAAGTGATTGCCCCAAGGCTACACAGTGAGGGAATAATGAAACTGGGGTCAATCATTGCACTAGACGGGGCTAATTCCCCCTTCACAGGTTTAGTGCGAGACTCTCACGTGAGAGTACATAGGAAAGTACTCGCCAAACTAGGTATACATGTGAATGATTTTAGATCACCCAAGTCTGCTCCTAAGCAGCCATACCTAGTCACAGCCCAAGTCTGGGTTCCGGTCCCCTGGGAGGTTGGTTTCTGTTATCCAGAGAGAGTCAGAGATCATCTAGGTGAACAGACGTCATACATGGGACGCTGTCTGTGCCTCAAAGTGCAGGCTGAGCTTTTAGTCCTGGCCACTCCTTTGGGGCCTGTATTCATGGGGCCAAGATTTGGTGAAGTAAATTTTACAACCTGACTCTGAAGTCATTTTGTTCTTT